CGTATTTATTTTTAAAATTTTTGATTTAACTGAAATAACTACTGTTTCGATTTACCCCTTGTTTCTATTTACCCCATCTGACCCTATTTAGTATAAATTTATATTATTTTAAATTCAAAACCTTTACGATATAATAATTTTTTCTTTCTGAACTTGAAAATGAAAAGAAAAAAAATCCTTAACGTGCTTTTAAAGAAAAAAAAAGTTTGTCTTACCACTTTTAAAAGCTCTCTTAAAAATCTACAATCTACACAGGTTAAGTCTTTGATATAATAATAACTCGCGAGACATGAACGAATTTTTCTCTCGCGAAAAAACATACTTGACCGAATTTTTCTTTTAAACTTTTTCTTTTTTTTTAAAGCAAATAAAAAAGACTCTCTTTACACAATATGTAACATTTTTAATTGACTATATTTAATTAATAAAAAATTTCTCCAATAGAAGCTTTTTTTAAAAAATATACTAAAACTATAGCTATAAAAATATATAGAATTAACTTAAAAATCAATCATCAGTTTTAATCAAATCGAGTGGTTTTCAACATTTTTTACCTTATTTTATATGATAGGAAAAAAAGGAGGATTTGAATTTTAAATTTAATCAATATATTGTACTTGAAATTGTTCCTGTTTGGCGTTACTTTACTTGGAATTGTAAATTCCAAGACTCCATTATTATTAATAGGTAAAATTTTTTTTTAATTAATAAATATTATGTACGTAAGGAAAAAAAATTTTATACTATAATAGGAAAAGTTATTGCGGTAAAAAAATTGAATAAAAAGCTACTATTACCCAAAATAATAATAAAAAGTAGAGGGGTGAAAATGCTACTTTCTTTCTTTTAACGACGAAAAATCGAAATTTTTTTTTTTAAATTGTACTGAAAGTTTAGTTCCTACTCTAATTATTAATTGAATTATTAATTATATAATAATTTATATTTATAATTTAGTATCTAAGATATAAATTTTAAATACGCAAAAAAATAATAATTAATACTAAATTAAAATAAATTAAATGTTTCTATACGTTTTATTGAAAAAAAATATTGGTTGAAATTGTTTCATCAACGAGTTATTGTTAATTGCTGCTAATTTTAATTGGATATTGTCCCAAGTGTATGTTATCCTGAAATCACAGTTATTTCCCTCTTCTCTTTTTTTAAATTCGTTAACAATTTTATATAGAAAAAGAGGAATTTTTATGCTCCTCTAAAACTTGATATATCGCGTTAAAAGAAAAAGCTTGGTGTATATCTTAATTCCCTTTGATTAAAAGGAATATGTAATTATATAATTAAATTTTTTTAATCTCTTCTAATTATTTTCATTCCCTGACATTTTTTAATTCTATTATTTTTAGACTTTTAGTATTTAGTATTTATTTTTTTTAGTATTTATTATTATTCTTTTAAACCCCTCAATATATTGTATTTTATTATTTAAAGTTTTATCAACAACAAAAAATTGTTTTCTCGAAAATTCTAATAAAATTTAAACCTATAAATTAATATAAGGAATTAATTGCAACTATTACTTTGTTTATTGCTAAATTAATTTATTTTAAACTCATAAATTGTTAGAAATTTTAATTAAAAATTTGAATTTCAGGAAAATTTTATTTCACCATATTTTTTAAATTACACTGGGAAAATATTGAATCACATAATTATGAAAAATAAAGTTTAGTTTCATAACGATAATGAGTTTAAGGAAAAAGTACGTAATGAGGATAAAAAAGTTGAAAATTAATTAATTCTTTCATTTCAATTTTCGTTGGTAAATTAAACATTAGAATTTTAAATAATTATTTTCCAATAAAGCACAAAAACTATTGTTCAACTTTTTTTTTAACTTTAAATTTACTTTTTTGCATAATATTTATAATTATTTATTTATTTCAAGATATACATTTATTTTCTGTTGAATATTAAAAAAAAGCAATAGAAAAATAGTAAATGATATAAATATAAAGAAACCTTCAATTTTTTCTATTTCTGCCAATGATTTCTTTTTAAATAACTTCATTCTTGATGAACTATAATAATCATAAAATTATTACTTGGAAATTATTTAAGGCATAATTATATTTGAATATTTCAAAATTAATTGAATTTTAAAAGAGTTGTGTTTACAATTTTTATAAATAGATGAACTTCAAAAAGTTTCAATTTGAAATTTTAGAAAATTTCCATTTTCAATTAATTATTAGAAATTTTAAAAAAACTTAGATTTTTGAAAAATAATAATTTGAATTCTTATGAAATTAGCTAATTTTTTTTATACATAATATAATATATAATAGGTATAATATAAATAACTATATTAATCTCCGTATTCTTTCATTCATTCTGTCCGCAGTTTGAAGTTAGATTCTGTGTACGCTTTGTTTTTTTTTCTTTAAAAAATATTGTTTGACAAATCAAAAATATGCAGGTATTTTTTTAAGATTTATAATAAAATAATATTACAAATTAGAAAATTTAAAAAAAATTATGATTAACAAATAAAAAATATACCCATTTTGTTATATGCTTTCTTCTATAACAAATTTCGTTTGACTAATCTAAATTATTATGCAAATTATTCTCCTTTTTGTTTATAAAAAATACTAGAAAATTGTTAATTGTTAAAAAATTTTGATTAAGAAAAGGAAATATACCCATTTTATGCATAATTTTTATTTCTCAATAACAATATTGTTGACAAACTCATTTTTTTCTTTTGGGAAGAAAAACATTAGATATTCCCGTTTCTTAATATTTTTGTAGAAAATTCTCAATTTTCATAAGGAAATAATTTGCATCAATTCTATTTATTAATTTCAATTGTTTTAATAAAATTCAAAGTTTTTTAAAAATAAAGAAAAAAATGTTTAATTATATTTGTCAATTAGAAAATTTAATTGAAAATGAAACTGAAAATTTTTGAATTTTTAGAAAATAAATGGAAAAATTTTTTTGAAAAAAATTTTCTGTTAAATTTATTTACGAATATCTTTAATTGTAAAATTATTCGAAAACAATAATTTATTTTTTAGATATTTTAAATATTTAATTATTATTATTTTTTAATAGAAATTAAGATTTTTCAAAACATTCAAATTCAAACCTTTTTGAAATTAATCAACTTTAAAAATATTGTTATAAAACATAAAGATAACAATTACTCCGAGTCGAAGACTCGGAGTAATCGATTGCTTCATGTTTTATAATAATTAAAGAGGATCGAGTGTTAAAATCATTATTTTATATTATAAGAATAGGTATTGTTACTTTAACTTCTTCAAAATTATTTTTACATGTAAAATTGCATGAAATTGCGTGACAGGGGGGAGGGGGGGGGGTCTAAAACCCCAAAAAATTGCGTGACATCATTTGTGAACGCTCCCTTAGAAAATTCAACGACAATTCAATTATTTAAATAAGAAAGTAAATTATTTATTGAATAATTGAATGTTTCTTAAAAATTAATTCTTATAAAGAATTTTATTACCAAATTTTTAATTAATTAAATTCTTTTGACGAATTTTAATAAAATTTTTAAGAATAGTTACATGTTTCAAGGAATTCGATTAAAATTATATTAAAAATAATTGAAATTCTGCGATGAGTTTTATTATTTATGAAAATAATTGAATTATTGAGAAAAAACTTATAAAAAAATTGGTAAATAATTAATTTCTTGTAAAATTTTTTATTATTTATGAAAATAATTAAATGTTTGTGTACAATTTTATTAAAATTTGTATTTAAATAATTGATTTCTTTTGATTAGTTTTATTAAAATAGAGATATTGAAAATTATCGAAATGAAGAAAATTTTTGAAAATAATTGAAAATTTGACAAAAATTTTATTAAAATTTTTAAAAACAATTGAATTTTGAAGAAGAATTTTATTATTTTTGAAGATAATTGGGATTTTGACAAGATTTATTTTTAATTTTGAACATAATTGAATTTTGTGATATAAGAGTTTTATTACTTTTGAACGTAATTGAATTTCTGCAATCATTTGTAACATTTTCAAAATTCAATTTTTTAGTGTTTTTAACTAAAATTCTTCTATATAAATCCATTATTTTTAATAATTAATTAAATATATATTGACAAATTTAACTAATTTTAGAAGACTTTGAATTATTAAAATTTTTCAAAAATTTAAGTTCTTTAGAATGACAAATTAAATTCATTTAAAATTGAAATTTTATAAAATTTCAAGTTGAAACCGTTTGAAGTTCATTTATTAATGAAAATTGTAAACGCAACTCTTTTAAAATTAAATTAATTTTGAGATATTTAAGTAAAATTTTATTAATTTAATAATTTATATGTCATTATTTTACAATAGTTTTTCAAGATTTAAGTTATTTAAAAAGAAATTATTGTCAGAAATTGAAAAAATTGAATGTTTTATATTATAATTTGTGGTAATTTCATAGTTTATGAGTCAAACAAAAAATACAGAAAAATTCAGAATTTTCTTATGCAACATTTTTAAGGCAGTCAATGCTGAATTTAAGCACTGGATTTTGTATGATTTAACATCAGAGCAGACAGTGCTGAATTTAAAACTGATCTTAAATTAAGATTTACTTTTTACTGTGTAATTTTATTTAAATAAGTGCGAGTAAAAAGTTAGAATTTTTGCTAGTTTAATATAATATAAAAAATTATTTCGATAAAAATTTTTAATATTATTTTAATAAAAATGGAAAATTTCTCTCAAAATGGAAAAAATCTTTTCGCAAAAAAAAAACGAAAATTATCACCTCATTTGAATTAATTTTAATCGCCATGAATTTTCCCTTAATCAACTATACAAAAACGTTCTATTATTCGCAGTAGTGAAATTTCTCTTAAATTCCGCTCGAATTTAGAACCGAAAAAATTGATTCTAAATCTTTAATTAAATTAGAGAGAGAGAAAAAGAGAGAGCGAGAGCAACTTCAGCAATTCGATTGTTAATTTTCTTTTTTTTTGGCTAATGTTTCAGGTTACGGGAGTGTCGCACCGCGTACAGTTTGGGGCAGATTAATCACAATTGTCTACGCCCTCGCCGGTATTCCTTTAATGCTGGTCTATTTGAGTACAGTGGGTGATGTTCTGGCAAGAAGTTTTCGCCGACTTTATGGCCGTTTATGTCGTCGTCCACGAAATTGTGCACGAAAACAACAGCAACAACAGCAGCAACATCACCATCAACAACAACAACATCAACCACCACCTCCACCACCGCCAGTCTCGGGTGTCATGGGTAAAGCATCATATCGCTACGACAATCATATTGAGACAAAGGGAACTGGAAACTTTTATGCAGCAAGTAAAGAGAGTTCTTGTGACGATCTTGGCACTCGCAGTACGGGAAGTGCGATTTTACTCGATTGTGGAAGCGAGGGTCTTCTTCATCCAACGACAAGTTCCACCATGGCCCTCCAGGTACTAGATTACCTACTATTTTATGCTTTTAAAGATAAAAGAGAAACTTTCTTTTTCTTATTTCTGTCTCTTTCCTTCATATTCTCCCTCATTCTTTTTCTTCCATCTTCTTCGTTTTTTTTTATTGCGAGCTGAAATTATCAAAGAATTCTCGAGAAAGTTGATCTGTTGAGAATTTTTCTTTCTCCTTTTTTCTAATAAAAGATCTCTTTTTTATTTTGGTTTACTCAGCAAAGACATTCTTATTGTCCCCGCAGTGACAAAGTATTTTTATTTAACATTTTTTTCCAAGGAAAATATTTCTCCTTGTAGGTAAATATTAAATAAATATTACAATAGTGATGAATTCTTTAATTATTTACTTTATTTTATTTTTTTAATTTTTTATTTTTATTCATTATTTTTCTATTTACATTTATTATTATATATATATATTATTCATTTATTTTAATCTTTATAATAAACTAGCAAATGTTACGCGCGGAACGTGATATTCTATTTATTATTATTATTACGCAACTTCAAAAATTTTTTATGTTCAAATTTAAATTTTGAAATAATTTAATTAAAATTTAAAAAATTCACTTATTAAGTACATAATTAATTATTATTGTTTAAATTTCCAAGAAATTTAATATAATTATTCTTAAGAATTTAATCATTTTCATAAATAATAACATTCTTCGTAAGAATTCAAATTATTTTTTATAAATAGTAAAATTTTTTGCAAAAATTAAATTATTTTCAAAAATATTTCAAGAAAGAACTCAATTTTTAAAAAAATTTCAATATTTTTCAAAAAAATTTTATTATTTTCCAAAATTTTTAAAATCTTTTATAACAATTCAATTGTATTTATAAATAATAAAATTCTTTGCAAAAATTCAATTATATTCAAAACAATTTCACGAAAGAATTCATTTAAAAAAAATTTTTAATATTAAGTATGTCAATTTTTTAATAAAATTCTTAAAAAATTAAATTTCTTTTTATAGAATTTAAAAACTAATTTTTCAGAATTTTAAATACAATTTCTTTAACCCTCCGTCACACACATGCGGGAAAAAATTACGACTTTACACACGTTTAGAGGGAATCCCTCACCACATTGTAAAATAAGCAACATTACAACATAAACAAAGGAATCAACAAAAATTTAGTTTTAACACAAACTTACAAATATGTAGTAAATTATTCTAAATTATAAAATTAATAAAATTAATTTTCGATCTCAAAAATAAAAATTAATTACACGAATGCACATCTTCGAAGGAATTCCACTTGACATGTAAAAATAATGTAACATTAACAAATAAGCAAAAAAATCATTAAACAATTCATTTTAATTATATTTATAATATAATTTTGTCATTAACCAACAGTGGAACAAAAAATGTTTTAAAAACTTGATTTTCTTCACAGAAAAAAGTGAGTGTTATTTTAACACTGAATTCGGTGTTAAAAGTGTCTGCATCAAACTTTAGCTCGGAAGTGTTATTTTAACACTGAAAATAAGGTAAATTTTCTATTATAGAAAATTTATCCTCACTAAAATTACCCTACCAAAATTTACCCGCATCAAAAACAACACTCGCTTTTCTCTGTGTTATTTAACATAACCTCACTTTTTCGAGTTTTTTCTGGCTTTGAAGCTTCATAATTAAATATTAATTATGTTTAAACTAAATATTTTTTTAGAAATGTGTTGAGGAGTAAATTGTCGAAAGGTATATAGAAACTGATTATATTTTGCAATGAGGAAAACAAAAGTTATTTAAAAAATACTGAAACCGTAGAGGGAATCCCTCCCTAGGTGTGAGACGGAGGGTTAAAGAATTAAACTACATATATTTAATTAAATTCTTCACAAAATTTCAATTATTTTCATAAATAATAACATTCTTCGGAAGAATTCAATTATTTTCAATTCAATTTTAATAAAATTTCACGAAATGATTCAATTTTGAGAAAAATGCAAAGAAATTCTTCAAAAGAATTTAATTATTTACAAAAACTCTAATAAAATTGTTTGAAAGAGTTTAATTTTCTATCAAGAATTTTAATAAAGTTTTAATAGTAAAATTATTGATAGAAAATTGAACTCTTTTAAACAATTTTATAAGAGTTTAACAAAATCGATTATATTCAATAAATTAAAGAAACTTTTTGAAAGAATTTAATTATTATCAAAACCTTTAATAGTATCTATTCCTCAGAAGAATTTAATTATTTTCTATATTTTAATAATATTTCCTGAATGAATTAAATTATTTTAGAAATGTGTAATAAAATTTTGAGAACAATTCAATTATTTTCAAAAATTTTTTTTAAATTTTAATAAGTAAGTGTTTAATTTCAATTATTAAGAAACGCGATTATTTTTAAAAATTTGAAAATAATTCTTTATTAAAATTCAATTACCTACTGTCAAAATTATCAATTAAAATTATTAAAGAAATTAGATTATTTAAAAAAATTCAAAGAAATTCATCAAAAGAATTTAATTAGGATTTTTAAAATTTTTAATAAAATTCTTCGCAAGAATTCAACTATTTTCATAAATAATAAAATTCTTTGAAGGAATTAAATTTTTTTCATTAATAATAAAATTCTTCGGAGGAATTTAATTAGGTATTTTTAATTCAATTTTAGTACCTAAAACAAAAAAGCAAACAACAACTAACTTCAAACTGCGAACAGTTTACCGGAATACAATATGATGATATGAATAATAATGATATAATATATTTATTCTGTAATAGTAATAATAAGAATAATAATAGTAGTCATAGTAACAATAATAATTACACAGTTTTTCTAAGAATATCCAATTGAGACAAAAAATTATCAAAAACGTTGCTTCGCAACATTTTTGATGATTTTTTGTCTCAATTTGTTTAAATAAAAAAAATAGTGAGATAATTTAATAGAACCGTAAATATAGTAAAGAGACAAATAGAAAAATACTGTAAAAATAATAATGAAACAAAAATAAAAAAATAATAAGAAAAATTGAAAAATAAAAGGAAATAAAATACTGTAAAAATAAATTATCAATTTACAGAAATAAAAATGCATTTAAATAATGCGAAAAATTATTTTCCTTTTTAAATAAAAGTATATACAGCTTTTAAAGTGAAAAAGAGTGAAAACAGTATATGTCTTGCCACAAAACACATTTTCTACTTGTGTTGACATGAGAGTGGAAAACGAAAATTGCATGTCTGACCATAAACCACTTGTTCCACTTGATATGATACGAAAGTGAAAAATTGTAGCCAAAATAAACAGAAAAAAGTACTAAAGAATGTTTTCAACAAAAAAAAATAAAAAAAAATAAACCTTGTCCTTTGTATATAACAGTAGAAAGGAATTCAATATTATATACTTCATATCATTTTTTTTCCTTTCGATAAAAGAGAATAAAGAAATATTTGTTTTAATCTTCATTTCACATTTTTTTCTCCATTATATAGAGCGGTATATATATATATATATAAAAGAAGTGTGATATGAAAAAAATTGAAATATACACGAATAATTGATCGACTATTTACTGGGAAAAAATCAAAAAGCAAAAATAATTTAATTAACTGTTTTCGAAGTAAAAATTAATTTTCTAATAGAAAATCCTCTTATTTTTCAATTTTATTTATTTTTTCCTATTAAATTTCTATTAAATTTTCTATTTAAAAACTTTTAATTTTTTACTGTATTTCTTTTCAATCCGCTTATTTTTTTCTGTCAAAAAAAGATTTTAATTTTTCCAATTAAAAATCTCCTTTTTTTAATATTATTTATCTTTATAAAATTTTTTTCTATTAAATTTTTATTAAATTTTCTTTAAGAAAAACATAAATCTATACTATAAATTTTTTCACTATTATTATAATTATTATTGTAATGTTTCAGTTAGTCTTTAGGTATGATATTTTTTTCATTAAAAATTTCAAATTATAATTTTTTAAATATTTTATTATTATAAATTTTTAATTTCCTTGAAAATTCTTTTATTATTAATTATTTATTAAATTACAGTATTTTTTATTAATTAATAACTAAAACTATATGTAAAAATATAATGACCAAAAAGAAAAATTAAATAAAACACTGCAAAAAATTAAAAATGAGTAATAAATAAAATAAATAGATAAATATAAAAAGTAAATAATGAATAGAATAATGTAATATCTAATAATATATAATATAATATAAATAATATAAATATAATTAAGAAAATTAATAGAAATATAATAATGTATAATTAATTATTAAATAGATAAATAAAATATCGATGTTTTTTATAATACTTTGAAGGAATTTAAGAAAAAAAGAGAAGAAAAAGAAAATTAATTGTTGGGTGGAGGAAAAAAAAATTAATTTGTAAAATTCATTCCGAGAAGAATGAGAGAATATTTCTTTAATTCTGCACTCTTTTTCCACTGGTTCTGCCAGTGAAGAGAGTCAATTGCACGCCTTACTATAAACTTCTTTTTCTACTGAGCATGGACCGGAAAAAAAACCAGTGAATAGAATAACATGAAAATACCAGCAAAAAAAAAAAAAAGAAAAAACAGGGAAAAAGAAATTGCTCAAGTCGTCTTTTGAATTTTAAAGAAAAATTCCAATGATACGTCTTACTATAGTTTGCTTTTACTACTCATACTGTAAAATAACCATTTTTTTAATAGAGAATATCATTTTCAGCGAAGAACAAATTATTATTGTTGTTATTATTATTATTAGTATTATTGTAACTGTTTTTATAATTATTATTTTTATTGTAATTATTATTTTTTTCTGCTTTGCATTATTATCAGAATATATCAATATTATGAACACTTTTTCAAAATAAAAATACAAAAAAATACTCCAGTGATAAAAAATAAAGAAAAATTTTACCGTTCTGTTTAAAATTTTATTTTAGATTTAAATTAGAAAGTTAAAAAAAATTTTATAATTTTTTCAACAGTTTTTGCAAAATAAAAATACTAAAAAGAATTTCATTGAGAAAAAAATACAGAAAAATTTCAATGCTTTGTTTCAAATTTCTTTTAGATAAAATTAGAAAGTTAAAAAAAAATTTATACTTTTTTGAACAGTTTTGTAAAATAAAAATACAAGAAAATACTTCAGTTATTAAAAAAATTAGGAAAAATTTAAGTATTTTATTCAAAAATTTGCTTTTAGATAAAAATGAGAAAATGAAAAGAAATTTTTTCTCATTTTTATCTAAAAGCAAATTTTTGAATTTAAAAAGAAATTTTCATCCTTCTTTTCTCTGCATGTATATATATATATATAATTATAAATGAGCGCTAAGAGAATCTCTAGAGTGTTATATAGTGTTTTTTTCTCCTTCTTTTTTAATGGGAAAATAGTAAAACCTGTTTATTGCAAAATTACGTTCACATATATGGTTTCAATGAAAGACTCTTCAATAATAAAAAAAACAACTTTTTTCCAGGACATTAAGGGTATGTGGAATCAGCCAACTTCAATTAATACATGTATTAATATTCCCACCGGTTTTCTAAAAAAATATTTAATAAATCTTGACAAAATATAAGAAAAATAATATTCTATTTATTGAGGCATGGATCTCTAGTCCAATTAATACAAAAATTTGCTTTTAAATATTATTTTTCATTTAATAAAAAGTTTGATATTTTTTGAGAAAAAAGACAATCAAATACAAATTAATATTGAAAAAAATGAATAAATTTATATTTTTCTATGTTAACATTCATTTTTTTCAATGGCAATTTGTATTCGATTGTCTTTTTTTCTCGAAAATTGTCAAAAAAAATGAAAGTTTGAATAGAAAAATATAAATTTATTCATTTTTTTCAATATTAATTTGTATTTGATTGTCTTTTTTTCTCAAAAAATATTAAACTTTTTATTAAATGGAAAATAATATTTAAAAGCAAATTTTTGTATTAATTGGACTAGAGATCCATGCCTCAATAAATAAAATATTATTTTTCTTATATTTTGTCAAGATTTATAAAATATTTTTTTAGAAAACCGGTGGGAATATTAATACATGTATTAATTGAAGTTGGCTGATTCCACATACCCTTAAATCAACTAATAAAATTATTATTGACTGTTAAGCCCTTTTAATGGCAGTTAACCTTTTATATGGCTTTATTTAATTAGCTTTGACTTGTTTATTGCGCATAATTTTTGCAAAAAAGAACAAGTGAGAAAAAATTGTAAAAACAAAATACATCCAAATATCTTTATTATTAAACAAAAATTTTTATAATCTTCATAAAAAAACTAATAATAGATCACGCTTTCAATAAAAAAGTGTAATAAATGTAAATGGACAATTAAAAAATAATTTTTTTCAGTGAAAAAGAAGATTAAAAATATTTCGAATCATTTTTTTTTTTTTTGCCGGTGGAAATAATAAAATAAAGATTAAAAAGAATTTAATTTGAAATCATTTTTCATTTTGTTTTTTCATGGAAGAATAAAATAAAGATTGAAAAAAAATTAATTTTTCTAGCAAAGCGATAAATTTTTATTACGAAAAAGAAAAAAAATCCCAATGTTCTTTTCATTTTGATGATTTATAATATTTTTCCTGTTAGCTTCACTAATGGGTGTGAGACGTGTTATAAAAAACCTTTCATAACTTTTTATGCGATGTAAAAATAGCTAATAAAGTCTGCAAGGATTTTAATAAATTTCCGTTCTTCTTTTTTTTTTGTTGCTGGAAAAAAAATTCAATTCACTTTCTATTTTGTTTATAAAATAAATTTTCTCTAAAAAGGAAAAAAATTACTTTTTTGTTTTAAAAAAGTTATATAATACGAAAATTATTATGAATCATGAAGGTTGATGAGAGTTCAAAAGAGAAACTAAAAGAGAGAGAAAAAAAAGTTCAAAAGAGAAAGAAAAAAGTTCAGATAAAGAAAAAAAAATTTAGAAAATAAGAAAAAAGAGTTTAAAAAAGAAAAAAAATGTTTAAAAAAGAAAAAACAGTTTAAAAAAGAGAAAATAGTTTAAAAAAGAAAAATTAGTTTACAAAAGAAAAAAAGTTTAAAACGATAAAGGAAGTTCAATAAATTTAAAAAAAACTATTTTGCTCGAAATTTTTATCCGACAAATTGCAAACGAAAAACCGTGCGCACCACGAATCATGTCTTTTACTTGCAAAGTGACTTTTCAAAAGGAGATAGAGAAGAATGAAATTTAAATTTTAAAAAGAAAGAATATTTTCTACATACGTGGTTTCTGATCGATGAATAAATTCCTCATCTAATTTTTTTTCTCTCTCTTTTTTTTAATATAATTCTCTCGTGAAACGGAATAAATGCGGTTAAATTTAAAAATAAAAACCAGAAATTTTGGAAAAGCAGGGATGAATTTTTTTTTAAATTTAAAGTGAAAATAAAAATGAAAAATCATAATAGTAAAAATTTAGTAAATATTTTAAGAATTTCGAAAAAAAGTATTCTCCGACCAAAATCTTACAGATTTTATTAAATTATAAACTCGAATAGAAACAAAATTTACTATAATTAAACTTTTCAGATTTCAAATTGAATTTATTTGAAATAATTTATGATTTTGAAAAGCTATTGAAAAATTATTATTTATAAATTATTTTGCAAATAATTTTCCTTAAAAATTCAAAAAATAATTGAATAATTGAAAAATTCTTTAACGAAATTCAATTATTTTCATACATACAATAAAATTTTTTTCAGGAATTCAATTGTTTTCAATATTGAATTTTAATAAAATTTCTCGAAAAAATTCAATTATTTTTAAAAATGTTTCTTACATTTTTTATAAGAATTCAATTAATGAAATGACGAAAAGTCTTCCACCAAATGATTTAGTAATAATTTTTCTAACTTAGTAGAATTCTACTAACAATTAGTAGAACTGTTTTATTAATAATCGATAAAACAGTTTCACTAATTCATTTAGTAAAAAGTGACTTTCAATTAGTGAAATTCTACTAAAACATTCGTAAAAAATTACTAAAAATTAGTAATATTCTACTAATTGAAAAGGGAAATAGTCTTCCATGAAAACTACTAAAAATTAGTAAAATTTTACTATTTCTCAGTAGAACTCTACTAATTCAGATTTAGAGAGAATATTGTGGAAAATAAATTAATTTCTAAATTTTTTTTGCAATAATATTATCACAAAACTTATTCTCTAAATTTGAATTAGTAAAAATTCCAACTAATCAGAATAAAAATGATATAAATTTTCTGAAAATTAATTTTTTAATATAGAGCAAGACATGAAAAGAAATAAAATTCTGTTTTTCTTAAAAAAAAAAATTTTTAAAACCGTATATAGTCAAAATTATTATTTTAATTAAACATAGTAATTTTGATTCAACACATAATAGGATTGATTAAATAAAAATTACATTTAATTCAATTATAAAATATGGTTAATTCAAACATATTTTTTTGGTTAAACTTATTTTTGTATTAAAAAAAAGTGTTTTCTCAGTGACGTATATTTACATTTAAATTTTTTTGTGAATCTAATTATTTTTAGAGTTAATTAAAATATTCTTTAAGAATCAGTGAGGAATTCAGAAAGTTATCTGCCTGGATATCAAGGGAAAAAATAAAATAAAATTTTTCGTTTGCAATTATTTTCTCATTTTTCTTCCCTTTTTCTCATTGTCTTTTTTCAGGATGCCTTCAACAATGGAAAGAGACACTATTATCCATGTACACTGTCATTAAATTCATCGTCAATGTGCGGAAATGATCTCACTAATCCAGTTAAAGTGCCAATAACTCTTTGTCTATTAATAATAATAATGTACATATGCGGAGGTGCAGTGATGTTTAATCGTCTCGAAGGTTGGACATTACTGGAGGGTGGTTATTTTTGTTTCACAAGTCTTGGTACAATTGGTTTTGGCGACTTATTGCCAGCTGGTAAAAATGCCCAAAATCCAACACTTGAGGAATTAAGTCTTTGCGCCTGTTGCCTCTACATTCTCGCTGGAATGGGATTAATCGCCATGTGCTTCAATTTGGTACAAGAAGAGGTGGTACGCGCGGTCAGAGTCTTTGGTAAATCTTGTGGAATGTCGAGCGGAACGATGGTCAGCGTCCAGATAGGAGGTTCAGGTATATCTCAAAATGCAGTAAAAAAAACAGAGAACGAAAAAAAAAATTAAAAAAGAAAAGCCGTGCTTTAGAGCTTTTAGTTTTTATCTCTTTCAAATTATATTTTTGCAATTTTTTTGTAATTGTGCTTATTGCTTTACTGGGAAAAATTACTCTTCTTAATTTTGTTACTCTACTGATTTTTTTTTTATTTATTTTCATATAGGAGTTATTAATAAAAAAATAAATATTAATTTGATAAAGAAAATTATTTACATTTATACTTAATTAATTATAATTAATTACTACTTTCTAAATTTGAATTAGTAAATTTTACTAACAAATAGTAATTTCTACTAATTTAATAGTAAAATTTACTACTTATTATTTTACTTATTAGTAATTTCTACTAATTTATTAGTAAATTTACTAATTCAGAAGTAAAAAGTAAAATTAGTAATTTGAATTAATTAGTAGTTTGAACAAATTCAAATTTAAAGAGTATAATAATTTCTTACAATATAATTATATTATACATATTATTTATATTAAGAATATTATTTATTTATTGATACAACTTGTTTGCATTAGAAATATTATTTATTTAAAGGAGTACCTACTATTTATTAATTAATTATTATCATTCAAATTCTTTGAATTTGAATTAAAATCTTTGAATTAAATAAATTAATTATTAATTGTTGCTAATGTAAATAATTATTCTTCATTAAGCCTTATTTATTATTGCAAACGAAATATTTTATTTATTTATTTATTATATTTCATTTATTTATATGTTGCATTTATTATTGAAAATAATATATTGCATTTATTTTTGCAAATAAAATATTGACATTTATTACTGGAAATAAAATATTGCGCTTATTATTGCAGAATAAAATATTGCTTTTATTATTGTAAAGAAAATATTACATTTGTTATCGCAAATATAAATATTTTAATTCATTTTACTAAAAAAAAAAAATTACTTTTAATATCAAATTAAATTGAAATTAATATTCTCTAAAACTAAAAAAATTATATTATTTTATAAATATTAGCAAATCAGTATTTTTTCATTATTAGACTATAAATATTATAAATTTAAAAAATTAAAAATTATTTTAAAATATTATAAATAAGTAAATTTAGTGTTTAGTCCTATAAATAAATCAATTTCAGCTGCGCGGTTTTGTATGTTGTTTTTTTTATCACTTTTGAGTATACCTGTACCTGCACATGAGGATTCCCTCCATTGTGGCGCTTGACATTTAGTTTCTCACTTGGCAGAGCTGGTTTCATATTATAAAATATTTTTCTCGTTTTGCAAAAAAAAAGAAAAAAAATTCAATAAAATATTTCTGTTTTTCTGTGGAAAAATTTGTATTTTATGTTTATTATTATAATTTTCTATATAGAAAATATTTCTCTTTTTCAAAAAGGGCTTTTCAAGACTGTTCAAAGCATATTTTAAACGATTTTCACATTTTTCACTTTTCTTTTTGTTATTTTCTATTCAATAAAGAATAAACATTATGTAAAAATTTTTCTACGCGTAAATGTTCTCGAGTTGTATGAAGAGAAAATTTTTCAAATTTTCTTTTTCAATTTTTGAGATTTCAATGAATTTTTATTTATTCTAAATTTTTTGTATTAATTTAATATTTAATAATAAAAATTTAAATATTTAATCTTTTATTTTCTAATACAAATTCAGTTAAAAGTAATAATTAAAAAACACTGAAATTTTAGAGTTAAAAAGAATTTAAAATTATTTAACGGCTTGTCCTGTTAATATTCAAATAAATAAATAAAATTTCCCAATTTTGGATAACTGTAAAGAAACTCAGAATTTATTTTTCCAAATGAAAAAAGAAATCCAAAGTAATATTTAAAACAATTTTTTTTCTCCAGTCGGCACTTTTTTACAAATATAGGTAACAATTGAATTTTCGTTTCTTCATATATATTTTTTTTATGAAATGTAAGCAATTTTATTTTTTCGGTATGTTTCATCAATAAAAATAATAGATTTTTCCGACTCAAAATCGATAAAGGTTTTTTTTTCGGAGCACTTTTATGTCACTTTTATTCGTTTGAAACTTTTTTACGGCTCATTTTATTTGATATAAAACTGTCCACACTTCAATCATAAATCTTCAAATTGAACGAAACGAAAAAAAAAACGTTTACTTCCCAAAAATTGAGAAAATGAAAGCTTTTTGATTAACTTTCTCGACAACTCGTGAATTTATTGCCTATTATTAACTCGCATTTTTTTCTCTCATCGATACATCGAGAAATTCAGAAAATATATTACACAAAATATATAGCTGTCAATTTCAAAAGCGAAGGAAAGAAATTTTTTTTGTCGGAGAAGAAGAGAAAAATTTTTGGGGAATTTAGGAATTGGAAAAATCTAATAAAAAAAAAATTATTTGTGAAAAAAAGATTTAGGGGAAAAATATTTGAAGTAACAAAATTTGAGGCAAAAATATTCGTGGAAAAGACATTTTTTGGAAAATTAAGTATTTCTGGGGAAAAATATTTGAAAAAAAACAAAAAGTTGGGGGAAAAATATTAGCAGGCAAAAGAATGAAATTTCTTGGTTTCTTTTCGTTGTGGGATAAAAATATCAGTCGAGTTTAAAAAAGAAAGAAATTCGAGCAAAAAATATTCTAGGAAAACAAAATATGTTGGGAAAAAAGATTTTATAGGGCGAAGAAAATTTCATGATCTTGTAATTTTTCTTTGGGATAAAAATATCTGTCACTTTTAAAAAGGGAAAAATATTTTTTCGGAAAAAGGAAAATTTGTGTAAAGAATATTTTTGAGGAAAAGAAAATTTGTTTAAAGAATATTTTTGAGGAAAAAAAAATTTGTGTAAAGAATATTTTTGAGAAAAAGAAAATTTTTGGGGAAAAGAAGTTGTGATTGTCTTGTGAATTTTCATTGGAGTTAAAAATTTCTATTTACTGTAAAGTTAAAAAAAAGGAAAGCAAACAAAAACCAGCCTCTGTCAATGAAAAATCCAAACTCTTAATTTATTTGAAATTTTTTATCAGGCGGTGGAAACGGCATCAAATCCGAGCCAGATGGTGGCCTTGGAGCATCAACAGATTCAAGATTATCGGAGCAGAATGACGAGGCAATCGCAATGTCAGTGGTGTCAACATCCTGACAACAGCCAACCAGGAGTTCAGCCGACTCGTCGAAACTCCTGGCGCAACATCAATTAAATAATACATTAAAAACATCATCCCCAGGACATCATTCGTTACCGAGGAAAAAATCCCCCGATTTTCGTAGTAATTCAACAAAATCACATTTTCAACGTAATCAACCATTGAGACGTAGTGCAATGTCACCGATACAGCATCAACAACAGCAGCAACAACAACAACAAGAAGCCTCATTGCTTTTTGAATATTTTGTGCCACGAAGTGTTAGTGAATTTAATCTCGCGGCGGCAATTAGTGAAATTGCCGTCCCCCCACCACCCCCTCCATCGGTATTAAGGCCCCAAATGACAATAGTGACCCCACCAATAAATTCAAATTCCCTGACAACAAATTCGACTGTTGGTAGTGCGGCGACCGTCACGAGAAATCGGGAGAAAATGGTGACATTCGAGGAGGATGTTAATAATTGTTCTTCAATGACGAGAAAACATTTAAGTGTTGCCAATAATGTCTTTATGTGACGTTGCAGTGCGGGTTAAAAATAGACTATATATATGTATAGAAATTTAGACGATGAAAAAAAGAGTGAAATGAATTTTTGAGCAACTAAAGAAAAAAACAAGTTAACTGAATTTTAAAGAACTAAAGAAAAACAAGAGTGAACTGAATTTAAGGAACTAAAGAAAAAAAAGTGAAATGAATTTTATGGAACTAAAAAAATAGTGAAATGAATTTAAGGAACTAAAGAATCAGAAAAAAAGAGAGTAAACTTATTTATGGTAGTAAAGAATTAAATTCAAAAAAAAGAATATATATAAAGTGACTGGAAAAGATTAATACATAGAGGGACAATAAAGAAGACAGATGTTTAAAAGCAAAAAGGTAAAAAAGAAATGAAAAAAAAGGATAAAAAAGGATCGAAGAAAATAGTAATTGGAAAGGAAGAATAACATCGAGAAGCACGAGTTGGAGGAAAATAAAAAAGAAGTTGGTACATCTCGTATAGACTTTGAAGCGAGGAAAAGCATCGAGAAAAGTGGAGAACTTGTATTGATTGCTGAGAAGCTATACAAAAACAAGTGATACAGGATTGACGAAAAAAAAGAAAAGAGAATACAACAAAGAGAAGGAGAAGAAAATAGAAAATCCGTGAAAAAAGAAAATGGGAAATAAAGACAACAAAAAAAGCAAAAAGAAAAGAAAAATTGGAAAGATCGCGAATGATACCGGAAGAGAAAACTTATCTTGAAAATTAAGATACAGAAAGAAAATTTTAGTAAAAATCAGGGAAAGAAATAAAAGAAACGAGAGTAATTTTTTTCTCAAAAACAAGAAGAAAGAAAAGAAAGGAAAAGAAAAATAGAAGAGAAAAAGACAGGAGAAGAAAAGAGAAACAAGAAAAATAAGAAAGGAAAAACAAGAAGATAGAAAGAAGAAACAAGAGAAGGAAAAAGAAGATAAAATTAACTATTAAACCAAAAAGAGAAAATTAAGTGAAAACGAAAAAAGAAGAAAAAAAGCGAGAAAGAATAAATAAGAAGGGGAAGAATATGAATAGAAAGAAGTGGATAAAAATTAAAAAGAATAGAAAGAATTGGAAAAGAAAAAATAAGAAGAGAAAGAAGTAATTAGAAAAGAAAGAATAAGAAAAAGAAGAATGTAGATAGAAAGCATAAGAAAAGGAAAGATAATGAAAAAAATGAAAACTAAAAATTATGGAAAGATTAAGTAAAAAGAAAAGAAGAAGAAAAAAAAAGAAGAAAGGGAAAAATTTTGAAAGAGAGAAAAAAGAAAATGGGAAAAGAATAAAATTGCATAAAGAAAAAATATAAGGAAAAAACAACTATGAAGCATTAAAAAAGAAACCAAAACGAAGGAATAAGAAGAAAGATAATTAATAAATTCTGAAAAAGACACAAATTTGAAAAGCAAAATTAAAAAATTAATTAAAAATTAACAGAAATAAAGGGAAAATAACAAAAATTGATGAAAAGTGTAAAAAAAGCGAAAAAGAGAACATAAAAGTTAATAAAAGAAATAGAAATAAAAAATAAAAAGACCGTTTGATAAAATAAAAAATATATAAATTTTAAAAAGAGAGAAAAAATTCTCTTTAAAAAAAGAAGAGTATATAAGAATGAATAATACAACAGAAAAAAGAAGAAAAGGAAGAGAGAAAGTATAGAAAAGTAAAAAAGAAGGGAAAAGAAGTAAATAGAAAGAAGACATGAAGATATAGAAAGAGTAAAAAAAAAAAAAAGTAGAAAAAAGAAGAGATAATTAAGAAAGAAAAAAGGAAGGAAAAGAAACAAGAAGCGTAAAAAGGAAGAAGAGAAAACATTTTTAATTAAGAAAAGAAAAAGGGAAAGAAGTAGAAAGAAGAGAAAAATAAAAGAAACAATAAGATTAAAAAGGAAAGAGAAGTAAAAAGAAGCAAGAAAGGAAAAAAAGAGAAAAAAATTAAGACCAAAAAGAAGGACAAGGTAACAAAAGAGAAAGAGAAAGAGAAAATAATAAATAAAATAAGAGAAAAAAGAGAGAAAACTAAAAAAAGAAGAAAAAACAGAAAGAAAATAGAAAAGAAAATGCAGAGGAAGGAAAAGAAAAAAAACAAGAATAAAGAAGAGAAATAAAAAAAAGTAAAGTAAAAAGAAAAGAACAAAGAAGAGGAAGAGGAACGTCAAAAGAATGAAGAAAAAGAAAGAAGAAAGAAGAGTAAGAGGAGCGGAAGAAATGTAGAAAAGAAGGAAGAAAAAATGGCGAAAAATGACTAAAAAAAATATAATCAAAAATTTCACCAAAAAAAAGAATCATAAAACATAAAAGAAACAAACAATACAAAAAGAAAAATAAAATATAATCGCCTATAAAATTTCACATGGCCAATAAAAAAAGAAGAAATACCAAGAAAAAAAAATCTACGATTCCTATAACAGAAAAAAAGAACCAATTTAAAAAAAAATAATTTTATAAGAAAAAAAAAGAATTAAATTTTGTAAATATCATCAAGGTTGTTACATAAAAAAATTTACCACAATTTTTACACGCGATTCTCATTTAAATATTCCAAGTACGATATACATAATATAATAACAGGGACACTTTTTGAGAACAAAAAACAATTCAAAACTCGTTTCACTGCCTTTCTAAAATTACAAAAAAAAGAAAAACAAATTTACTTTCAGCTATAGCAGAATCAAGTTAGTGTGCACTTTTTTACCATCACTCCAAAAAAAAACATTAATAAAAATATCTTCAGTCCCAAATAACGTAAAAAGGAAAAAAAAATTGTGAAAATTCATTACTAGACAAAAATGTAGCATAAAAATCGTTGAATTCATAATGTAAATTGGTTATAAGAAATTTACAAGAAAAAAAATTCTATTATAATTGTAATAAGACATTTGTCCCATAAATCAATTTGTATAAATTGCGCTATATTATAAATAAAGAAAAAATTGTAAGAAAAGACGATTAAGAAAAAAAATCGATTCTTAAAAATAACTAATAGTGGCGAAGACCAGAAATTAATTACTATTATTATAATATAAATAATTATGATGTAATATTTTAATATTCTATCACAATATTGTATTTTAAATTTCTAATATTGTATTCTATTTTACAATATTGTATTCTATTGTATAATATTGTATTCTACACTAAAAGAATTTGGTATTTGCTTCAAATACCATTTAATTGACTAAAGTAAAATTTATTTGGTTCAAGCAAATATTTCTTTGATTACAGTTAATATTTATTTGGTTCAAGTAAATATTTCTTTGATTCTAGCTTATATTCATTTGGTTCAAGTAAATATTTCTTTGATAATAGACAAGTAATTTAAGAACTAAAAAAAATTAAATTCGTTTTTTTCTAATTTTTTTTTATTCAGTGTATTATACAATATTCTACTCGATTCTACAATATTGAAATATAATATTCTATCCTCATATATTGCATTATAATTATATTATATTATACAAAAAATATATTTATATATAATTATAAATATTATAATATATTAGAAAAGTAGAATATATTAATATATATATATATATATCTCACAATTTATTTGTACACCAAAATATATCAATACATTCTACTCGACAATAATATATTATAGTATATAATTCAAATATATAAATTTTATAAATATTAAGTAAAATATCATTTAATGTAGTTAGAGGATATAACTGAAGTTTCGAAATTTGTGAAAAGAAAACTGTTGTCCATAATAAAAATGATTTTCATGGAGACTATAATGACTTGAAACTTCTTTGCCTTTCCATTTTGCAATTTTTATTAATTCTGTACATCATTTTTTCGTTTTTGTTTTTTATTTCTATAATATAATATTAATCATCATTTTATAGAATACATATTAAATATACTACGGAAAAATTCATACAAACGCAGGTAAAACGCAATTTTCTAATAATCACAGCTCTTCAATTATACTCGCAAATAATCATCATTCAAAAAGTGTTGGTGAAAAATAATAATTTTTTCGGAATGTTGTAAAATCATATGTAAATTAGAATTAGTACGTAATTAATTATTCACTATTAAAGACTAATTAGTTATAAACTATTGAGAATTAATTAATTATTAATTAACCTTTACCAAATAATTAAAAATGAATTATTAATTATTAGTAACTAATTAATTATTAATTTACTCTTAACAACTAATTAAATACTAATTATTAACTATGGAAAATTAATTATGAATTAACATTCAACAAGCTAATTAACTACTAATTATTAATTAGTAACTATTAATAACGAATAACTAATTAATTGTTAAAAATGAATAATTAATAACTAATAACTAATAACTAATTAATTATTAATTCTTAACTACTTATAACTAATTAATTATTAATTATTAACTACTGATAACTAAGTAGTTGTTAGTAATTAACTGTCAATAACTAATTAATTATTAATGAATTCTATTCATAATTAAATTATTAAACGTAAATATTAAAAGCAATGATTTTACAATAATCATATGAAAAAACTTAAATATTAAAAATAATATTTTTAAATTAATTAAGTAAAAATAAAAGTTAATATTAAAAAAATAGTTTCACAATAATTAGGTAAGATTTCTAATAAGAAAAAATTGAAAACGCAATTAATTGAATATAATAATATTAATATATAGAATAGTAATACTGTATTATAGTATATACTATTATATACTTATTTATATAATAGATAATAGATAATAATAATAATATTATAAAGAAAGAAAATTAATTGCACTTATTGATATGAAAAGAATTAAAATTTATTTTTTGAAAAGCAGAAAAACAACAATTATTGACACTAATTTTTTTGTTTTATCATCATTGGGAAATTAATTAATCAAAATCAATTAACTTTAATTTCAATAATAAAAATAATAATTAATTATAATAAAAATGGATTTAAATTAAATAAATTGTTGAAATTATAGTAGGACACATCTTTTCTCACTTGTCAAAAAATAATTATTATTATTAAAAATATAAAATTTTTAAAAATCTATTTTTTCAATAGAAAAAAATAGTATCAGTAATTGTGAATTTTTCTCGCAAATATATTTTTTGTTAAAATAATTGTAGTATGTATAATGTATAAATTTCTCTCGAATGGAAGTTTTTAATGAAAAAAAAATTCCATTTTTTCTTATTATACAATAACAATAATAATAATTAGAGCAGTGTGTGTAAATTTTTTTTAAAATACAAAAACAAAGCTAATTAAAAATAGTGTGATTATTAGGGAATTTCTAATATTTGTTTGACTATTTTTTGAAAGTCCTTGCTGATTTGGTTCATCGATGTTGTTACCACCAAAACTTCCTGCCTCTGGGAACCAGGATTCAGTCACTGGAATCTAGGGAAAAAATTATTTTTTTTTGTATTTAATTAACAAAATAACAATAATTAACTAATTAATTATTTGAGTTGAGTTAACAAAATAATAATAATTAACTGATTATTTATTTGTACTGAATTAATAATATAATAATAACTAATTATTTATTTGCCTTGTATTAACAAAATATAATATAATAATAATTAAATAATTATTAATAATATTTATAGTTCAATTTATAGTTTACAATTTATAATTTTTTTCTACTATAAAAACTCGTTTTAGTTTAATAACTTTCTTTCGGGAAATTTTTATAGTCTTTTTTAAACAAAAGTATTTTTTTTCTGAATTAATTTTTACATAATTATTTTTTCCCTACCTGGTTTGAAGCTAACCAAGTGCTCGTTGCCCAAGCGGGAATTTCTGTCGAAGTTTTCGTTGTTTGCGTCGTCCAAGACATTCCACGTCCATAATTTGGTGATCGTTGTGTCACAACAATAGCAACTTTTGGAGAAAAAGAAGAATAATTTACAATTAAAAAAAATAATTTATAATTTAAAAGAAAAATAATTTATTATTTGAAAAAAATATATTCTTTAATTTTTTTAATTAAAAATATCAGAGAGAAATGAAAATTAATTTCTCTTTTAAAGAAGGAAAGTAATGACAAAATTATAAGAAAAATTTCAAATTTTACCTGATTCGTCATTGTTAACATTATTATTATTGACATTATTGTTAACATCAACTATTGTTGTCGTTGCTCTTTCAGTTGATTTTTCAGTCTTTGATTCCTCGACAGATTTTTCTGTACTCAATTGTGATACAACATTCGATTGAGCTGAGGATGGTTTCAAGTCGTTCGCTATTCGCGATTCCGAACCTAAAAAGGTAAGTTTTTTTGTTTAATTTTCCTATTTTTTAATAATTTTATTTTTCTTTCTTGTCACATATATTTTTCTCTATTTTTATTTTAGATAATTTTATTTTGCAAAAGCAATTTTTTTGCACTAGTAATTTTTTGTAATTTAATAATTTTTTTCCCTAGTAGTTTTTCACCATTTAGTAATTTTTTCGAATTAGTCATTTCTTTTTTTTTGCATTTGTAGTTTTTTGAAATTTAGTAATTTTTTGCAATAGTAATTTTTTGTAATCGTAATTTTTTGTAATAGTAACTTTTTGTAATAGTAATTTTTTGTACTAGTAATTTTTTGGACTAGTAATTTTCTTGCATTAGAAATTTTTTACACTAGTACCTAATTTTTCACATTATTAATTTTTCCAAATAGTAATTTTTCACAGGAGTAATTACTTTGAAATCTTAGTAAAAAATTAGCAAATAGTTCAGTTAGTAAAAAATATTAATTGAATTATTAACTGAATATAAAATAATAATATATAGAATATAATTAATATAAATACGATATATTATATTATCATATTATTATGAAACATTGTAATAAAAAATTCTCAAAACAATTAGTTTAAAAAAATTAATATTTAATTATCAAGTAAACAATTAATTAATAATTAGTAAAAAATAGAATTTTTAGAAACTGTTAATTAGAAAAAATGTAATTATTGTTAAAAAAAGAGTAAGATTTATGATAATAGAGAAAATATTTATTCTTTCTCTTATTCGGTTAAAAAGAATTTTCCCATTAAGAGATAATCTTTTATTCATTGTTGTTAATACGATTTTATTTCCTTCAATAAAAATTCTGGATAATTGAACTTTGCTGAGGAGAGTTTTCTTCTATATGTATGTATATATATAAAGCCGGAACTTTTATCTCAAAAAGTTCGAGAATAAATTTAGACTCTTATCTTCCGAAAAGCTAAAACATAGAAGAAAAGAAAATAGATAGAAACCGACCGCATAAATTTTCTACTTTTCTCTTCTCTAGCTTTTTTAAATTCCCATACAACTTTTGCTAAACAATTTTTCGTTGATGTCTAAGTAACAAAAGAAGCTCTATCCAGTTGAGTATTTTTTTTATTTCTTTCTTTTTCATTATATACCTTGTTCCTGTCTAGTTTTATATAGAATATGGTGCTTCTTTTTTTTCTAAATCCATACCACCTGCTCTGGTTTAATCTTGTGTATGAATTTATAATAAATTTGCCTCTTTTTTTCAAAATGAGATATGAAATTTTTATATTATTTTCCATTCCTGTCTATTTTCTTTTTTTGGAAAATTGTTTTCTTATTTTTCTTTTTTTTCTTCTTTTATGTAAAAATATTGACAAAAACATTTGTCTGGCTAACTCAGTCTTTTTCTACTAAAGCAAAAAAAAATCAAATAACTTCTACTACTACTTTTACTACTAATAATAAGAATTATCAAAAGTAAATCATAAATTATAAACAGTATTTTGGCTGACTAAAATGATTTGTACTACACGGAGAAAAATTCTTTTTTAATGATTACAATAGTCTACATTACAGCTCGGATATGTGACCACTTTTTGGAATGATTACGAAGACTATGTAATGTGTTAAGAATTGAGTAGGAACGATTACTATAGCTGTTGTAAGGGATACCTTCATGTTTTAACTCCTTACAACAGCTATAGTAATCATCACAAAAAGTGGTCACATATCCGAACAGTAATATTGACTATTGTAATCATTATGAATAAATTTTTCTCCGTGTACTGAGAGAGAAATTATCAAGTTTTTTTCTGACTAAACTGACTGAAGAATTTTTAGGGAAAAAACTTTTTATCTGATTTAATTGATCTTTACTAATGATTTTAGCTTTCTATTAAAAATAATAAAATTATTAGAGTTGACACGAATTGTCTGATTGAATAGCGACTTTTACTACTAGGCTACTACTTTTTAATTCAAATAGAAAAATTAAGAGTTAAAAAATTATCTGACTAAATTGAATTTTACTACTGATAGAAAAATTATAAAATTAAAAAAATATTTTCTCCAACACTTGCTCTGAAAGGAGTACTTTTCTTGGTAGAAAAGTGTGGCGAAAGTAGAACTTTTCTCAACTGCTCTGAAGAGCGTGGCGAAAGTAAAATTTGGCGTGGCGAAAGTAATTTTTAGCGTGGCGAAAGTAAATTTGGCGTGGCGAAAGTAAACCATGAATTTATTCTTTTTTCTTGTTCTTTGACCGAGATTTATTTTGTATCTAACTACTTCCCCACTCAAAACATTCGTCTTTTATTATATTAAACATAAGAACATTTTAAATTAAAATTATACGAAACTCACGAAGAAACCTTTCCTCGCAAGTCGTTCGAGAAAACGTAGTGCACAACTCGTGGTGAAAGAATGATTTTTCGAGAGTGAAGTTTGCGGCTCGAGCGTAGCGAGAGCAGCAAACTTCACTCTCGAAAAATCACACTTTCGCCACTAGTTGTACAATGTACTATTGTCTGGCTTAACTGACTTTTACTACTGATTTTAATTTGTTAATAGAATAAAAATAGAAAAATGATAAGTTAAAAAAATGTGTCTGACTATAAATTAACTTTCATTACTAGATCTTTCACTGTCGACTGAGAAAAAATTGATTTAGAATATTAAATGTATTTTGTCCTACTAAATTAATTTTTACTACTAATTTTAATCTGTCAAATAGTCTTTAATCGAAAAATCGAAAAACTACCCTTAAATGTACAAATTAAAAGTTTAAAGTAAGCAAAATTGAATAACATATTGTGTTGTATAAGAGAAGAATAAATTTATGCACTTTTCTTACAACAACTCGCAGAAACAATGTCAGAATTGTCCATTACCCTCTGTATTTTTTAAACTTTAGTTAAAAGTAATAAAAAATGTAATAACAGATTGTTTTTTAAAACAGAACAATAAATTTATGTACTTCTCTTTCAACAACTCAGAAACAATGTCAGAATAAAAACATCACCTTCTTTTTTTTAAATCGAAAAAACTACCCTTATAATTGTGAATATCCAAACTTTCAAGTAAAAAGAATGAGATAATAGATTTTTTTAACCAGAACAATAAATTTATATATTTATTTTTCAACAACTCAAAAACAAGGTCAGAATTAGTGGTGAAATTCAGATTTTTCATACAAAAATTTAAAAACATTTTTTTTTTACTTCACCTTGTTTTAAAAGAGTGAAACAAATACAGATCGAAGAAAAAGAAATCCACTACACCGATCGTTTGAAAATAAGATACAGAAATATATAGTTTTTAATGGTTCTTTTAAAAAACTCATTTAAAAATTTTTTTTTCGCTTTAAAGTCTGAGATTATCCATATAAGGGTAGTTTTTTCGATTTAAAAAAAATTAAAGGAGATGATTTAATTCTGTCTCTGCTTTCTAGTTGTGAGAACAAAAATACAGAAACGTATGCTTCTGTTTAAAAAATTAAATTTTTTTCTAGTAAACTCCGGGTTCATCCTTTTAAGGGTACTTTTTTTATATAAAAAAATTGGAGGGCAATTGAAAAAATTAGAAGAAATTCTGATCCTTTTTTGAGCTGTTAAAATAAAAATACAGATTGGTGTGTTTTTGAGATGTTATAAGAGAAGTACATAAATTTATTGTTCTGTTTTAAAAAACAATCTGTTATTACATTTTTTATTACTTTAAATTTTGAATTTGTACATTTAATGGTAGTTTCTTTGTGTGCCTGTGAAATCAAAAAGTAAGTAATATTTCAGAAAACAAAAATTTATTGAAAATCTTTTTTCAATTTTTTTCCGCAAGTGTTATAACATATTGTTTTTCCATTTTCAAAAACCATATATAGATTAAAGAAAAATTTTGCTTTTCTAGTGAAGAAAAATTACTCTTCCAAGACACGTTTATACGATTTCGTAATCTAGCTTATTGTATAGACATTGAGGATCTTTTCTTTCTCATTTTTTTCTCCTTTTCTTTTTAGTTTTATTTTTTTCTCCGCCCTTGAGAGTTTTATTAGCAAAGTATTATCTGAATCGGTGTACTTGAGAATAAAATCCCTTAAAGCTACATTTCGCAGAAATGACTGCGTGTTATAACAAGAATATATAGTGGAAAACGAGTCACGACTCGCAAACACAATGTCGTTTATAACATTTATATATATATATATTTCTTTCCTCAGTGTATATTTTTTCCCTCAGTTTATATATATATATATATATATATATTTTTTTTTAGTGTATATTTTTTTCGCTCAGTGTATATTTTTTTCCTCAATATTTTTTTTTGCTCAGTGTATATTTTTTGTCCTTAGTGTATATGTACATTCACAGAGCGAAAAATGTATATATATGAAATACGTATATAATGTTAAGAAAAACGTACCTGATGGTGAATTCAGTGCACGTCCGGTACTTTTGAATGCCGTGGGGTAAGCTGTATTAGGAAAGGCACTGTAAAAGTCACTGGTTTTACTTGCATAAGTATCAGGTGATGCCGTTCGTTGATATGATCGACTTTGTTGTCCACCACCTGCCCCTCCTCTGCCGCCCCCCAATGATAATGCATTTGAACCCTCGCCAAGTGGACTCACTGACAGTGGCACAGAATTATCCATCATCGATAGAGGACAATTGCCACTATTCGGTCTGCGAACAAATATATTAAAGAAACATGTATAGCTGCCGTATATCGATAGGAAATGGGACACAGTTGCATTATTTATATTAACAAACGATAAATCTTTCATGTGCCTTTCAAGAGATTTTTCTATTTCTTTTATTCTTTATACATTCCTTTTCTTTTTTTTCTTCTTGATATTCTTTACATTAACTATAATAATCTTCGTATTTCATTCTTTCATTAATTCTGTCTGTCCACAGTTTAAAATTAGTTTTTGTGTATGCTTTTGTTTTTTTTAAATATATTGTCTGACAAATCGAAAATATGCAGGTATTGTTTCATAATTATTATTATTATTAACTATAATAATCGTCGTATTCTGTCCAGTCTGTCCACACTTGAAGTTAGACAACAAAAAACGTTTCCTTATATTCTATTAATGAATAAAATAATAATAATAATTTGTTTAAAACATAATAAAATGATAACCTATGAAAAAATCTATAAAAAATATATATTATTAGTAACATAATTTTAAAACGCTTAGAATAAAACGATGCCAATTCGACTGTAAACAAAAAAACAGTTCATTTGTTAACTTAAATTGTTTATATCATAAACAAATTATAACTTTTAAAAAAGTCTATAAAAATATTATTGGTAACATAATTTTAAAACAATTAGAAAAAAATGATGCCATATCGACTATAAACAAGTACAGTACAGTTTATTTGTTAACTTTACTTTGTTGATAACATTAATAAATATTTTTTTAACAATATTTATGTATAGATGTTAATAGTGACTAAATCTAAAGGCTGTTAGAAATATCTTTGCGATTTCTAAACGAGTTGTTCAAATAATTAAATTTTAAGTTAGAAAAATTATGTTTTTTAAAAAATGCAGAATTTTCATTAAATTGCAAAAAGCAAATTTTTTAAACTAACAATGCCAACGAAAATTTCACGCGCACTGGCGCGCGTGTAGTTTTGCTATTACAATTGTATTGATAAATAATTTATAATAAAATAATTTTGAAATTAAAAATTTTCACTGAGAAAACTGGAGAGTCAAATTCAGATGTTCAAAAAGTGTATGTTTCCTTTGCTTATGAAGAGAGTTAAATAGTCCTTCTAAAATAAATTTTGAATTGATAATGGAAATCTACTTGTATATTCTCTCCCATTATATCTGAGGGTTAAAAGTTGCGGAGAAAATGTGTACGATCTGATGCGCGCGAAATTATTTTTCTGACATTTTATGTATTTAATTTAGGGGTTAGGTTGCCATATTTATTCATTTCGCGCCGGATAAGGAAGGGATTTCTCAAGATGGTTAATTTCTCCCTCTGTTAGAGAAATGGCACGAATATCTGTCAATGGTGAATTTGAACATTTAGATTGTTATCCAATAGCTAACTCCCAAATATCAACGATTTGTCCCTCCAGATGTTTAGTCCCCCGTGTAGAAACCCGTGTGGAAAAGTGAGGTGGGCCCACGGTGGGTCCCAGGTGGGCTTCCCAGGTTCTAGGTGGGTCCCAGCAGGGATGGCCCAGGTGGGCGATTCCTTGGCTTGTAACGGTGAATCCAGCCACAGCCCACCTAGGAAAAATCCAGCTGGGGCCCATAGATTTAGTTTTCATTCAAATTAATGAATAAATTGTTTATTAATAACAAATAAGTCGAATTATAAATAAATAACGTTATTATTTAACGATTTTTACTTTTTTTAATGAAATTGTGACCAAAAGCAAATTCATAAATAATGTTAGCATATATATGGGAATTAATATATATCCTTTCATTCATAAATTAAAAATTTATAAAAAAATTAGAAATTTGTTAATTAAATTATTAAACGGTATATATAATCACTAAATTGCATACTTATACGAATACAATGCAGAAAAATCGGAATAAACGCAAACCTAAGAAACAAATAAAATTTAACGCACGCGGGGATTGAACCTACGACCTACGGACTACTAGACTAACGCCCTAACCACTATACTACGGAGACTAACTACTGAACACCGACGTTTTATTGTCAGTGACTTGTTGATCTGCTGTAATGATTCAATAAAGCACTTACTGACACGAATACACCGTAACAAATAAATAATTTAATAATAATTATAACAATATTATTAATGTAATAAGAACGATAAATATTCTTAAAATAATATTTATATTATTATGAAAAAAATATATCAATACATTTTTATTAAAAATGTGTTTTTTATTGTTTACAATCATTATAAACATTAATTTGTTGGTCTAAAAAAAAAAATTTTTTTTAGTTTGGACTTAGAAATTTTTACTAATTAATTATGTGGACATTACATAAAAAAAATATTGTGAATACATTTTTGTTAAAAACACGTTTTTTCTTAATCTAAGTCATTATAAACATTAATTTTTTGTTGAAAAAAAAATTTTTAGGTTTGGACTTAGAAATTTTTACTTATATAATTATTGATGTGGGTCCTCAAAAACTGGGAAGCCCAGGTAGGGCCCAGCTCACGCCCACTTATAATATTATTTCGCCTGACCGGAACCCACCGTGAGTGGGTCAATAGACAAACTCTAAAATGCTTCCGTAAAATGTTAACATGTTTGTCAATTGTCAATTCATGTACGAAGATGACCATAATTACATCAAAGTTTTATTATTAAATGTTAAAGAAAAACTAAACTATTTAATAATTTTCACTGTAAACGATTTTTGTTATTATATATAATAAATTTTACTAATGTTATATTGCAGTCGTTATTGTTTAAATAAATAATTGTTGTTAATTAGTAACTCCTGACACTAGCTTCCAGAAAGATGCAGTTTTTTTCTAATTTTGCAATTAACTAATTCGAACCACATGAAATAAAAATAATTTAAGGTTTTAACAATTCAAAAATTGTTTAAACAAATGATTGTTGTTATTTACTAATTTTTGACACAAAGCACCTAAAAAAATGCAGTTTCTTTTTAATTTTATATTTAACTAATCTGAAAAGTATGAAATAACAGTATTTTATGATTTAAACAGTTCAGAAATTGTTTAAACAAATAATTGTTATTGTTTATTAACTTTTAATACAAACAATCCAGAAACTTGCAGTTTCTTTCTAATTTTACAATTACTACTACTCTGATTAACTAATTGCAAAATAAGAAAAAACTTCATTCTTCTAGATGCTATGTGTCAAGAGTTAGTAAATAACAACAATTATTTGTTTAAACATTTGATAAATTGTTAAAATTAAAATCATAAAACATCCGAATGATTTACTATTTACATTAGTTAATTGCAAAATTAGGAAAAAACTGCAAGTTTCTAAGTTATGTGTATCAAAAGTTAATAAATAACAACAATAATTTGTTTAAACAATTTCTTAATTGTTAAAACCATAAATTATCTTTATTTTATGTTGTTCGTATTACTTAATTGCAAAATTAGGAAAAAAATTGCAAGTTTCTAAGTTATGTGTATCAAAAGTTAATAAATAACAACAATCATTTGTTTAAACAATTTCTGAATTGTTAAAACCATAAATTTTCTTTATTTTATGTCGTTCCTATTAGTTAATTGCAAAATTAGGAAAAAAAATTGCAAGTTTCTAAGTTATGTGTATCAAAAGTTATTAAATAACAACAATTATTTGTTTAAACAATTATTAAAATGTATTAAAAACCGTTATACCTTGATGAGTTAATTATTAAATAAATAAATTCAGCTGGAACAACTTTAAAATTTCAATAAAACTAAATGTCTGTTAGTGTAGTACAATAAAAGTTTATAATTATTGACAATAATAAATTGTTTAAAATAATAATGATTATTATTATTATGAATTAATTGTAGAATGATTTATTGTGAATAGTTATATTTAATTTTCAGACTTTTTCTATTATAATGTTAATATTTTTATGAAAATGGGAAGCCCAGGTGGGGCCCAGCTGGCTCCCAGTTTTTAACTGGGCTAACTTGGGCAGATTTCCACACGGGAATTGAAAATAGGACTTAGTAAGGCCCTGAATAGACGCCCTTTCGTTTAGTGAGGCGCAAACTAGGAAAATTAGCCAGGACCCGTCTAATTTCGTCACGCTTGGAATATCAGGTGATGATGTGGAAAAATAGAGAGGTTCTAACTAGATTGCCTTGTCACTGCCTGAATAGAAAAGCAGAATGTGGGGATTTAACTAGAGGGCCTCTTTAGCGCCTCATTAGTTTTTCTAAATACCAAAGCAAAAATTTACGACAGGCGTAATATTGCGCCAGTAATACTGAACAACCCAAGCAAAAATTTCTGTCAAATGCCAGTATTCACAACAGGCGCAGTATTGCACCAGTACTGACATGCCAGCAGTTGGCTTGCCAGTACTGGTTCAGTACTGGCTTCAATAAAATTTCTGTACTACGCCAGTACTGCCCTTTAAGACTGGTATGCCAGTACTACGCCAGTACTGTGCCAGTATTGCTAACACGGTAAACTGACAATAGTAAGTTAGGAACTAATTAATGGAAATTTATGCAGTAATTTATAGAAATTTTTGCAATAATTTATAAAAATATGTTCCACATAAGTTACAATTAAAAATTTTTGCTGTAATTTATGGAAATTTATAGAAATTTTTGCAATAATTCGTAAATATATGTAAAGCAAAAATTATCATTAAAATTTTGGATTTCTGTCATTTATGGAAAATTTGCGGTAATTTATGGAAATTTATGCGGTAATCTATAAACATTTTGACGATAGTTTATAAAACTATGTAAAACACAAACGAAAACTAAAAAAATTAACATTGGAAATTTTCGCGGTAATTTATGGAAATTTATGAGATAATTTATAAAAATTTTGACGATAGTTTACTAAAATATGTAAAACACAAATTAGACCTAAAAAATTGAATGTCGGTAATTTATGGTAATTTATGGATATTTTAGAGGCAATTTATGGAAATTTATTAGGTAATTTACTAATTTGACTTTTTTGAATTTAGTTCAATTAAATAATAATTTAACTAAATTACACAGTTAAACGCTCTTTATTAATTCTAAGTGTAAAAGGTGTCAAAAATTAAAATTTATTCTCCTGTAGCTTCGATAGGGTAGTGGTTAGAGTGTTAGGCTAGAAGTCCGTAGGTCATGGGTTCGATTCCTCGCAGTGTCAAATTTTATTTCGTTATAGGTTTGCGTTTATTCTGTGTTGTAAACATTAATTTGATTAAAAGTTAAAAGTTGGGAACTATTACATGTTTATAAATATAAATTAATTTTTTTTTATTATATCAACATTGAATTTAAATAAATTTTCCACTAGATTGGAAAATAGACGGTCTGGTCTGATTCAGGCCAGCGCCAGAAGATTTTTCTACACGTGTACTAAACCAGTACTGGCTGCCAGTACTGCGCCAGTAACATCAAGCCAGTACTGAAAAGCGTTATCATTTCGGTCAAATGCCAGTACTGATTCAACCATGGCGGCCAGTACTGGCGCAGTACTGCGCCAGTTGTCAATTTTTGCTTGGGAAGTTACTGAACAAACACACATGTAAACAACACTGTTTCGACCAATCAACCTATTACTAACTTAACACTAACACTAACGCATACCTAACACTAACTCGCACGTTATGAATCTACTTTCTCATCGTCCTTATATACTAAACAAAACATTTCTTTACCGCTTGTGAGAAAAAGTGCAATATTTTTAAATTTAAAAATAGCAAATATTTTTGCTCAAATAGTTTTTAAACTTTAAATAGTACTTTAATATGCGTTTAGAACTATTTTTCTGATAATTTTGTTGCTTATTATTTAGAAATTAGGATTTTTCAATGAAATTGAAAATTAATTTAAATACCTAATAGGGTCATAAATAGATACCAGATAGATTTCTCTGTTTAGACAAAAAGGGTATTCTAGTCAGAGCCTGATTGAAATATTTAATAGGGGCATAAATAGATCTAGTTAGATTTATTCCTATTTGAAAAAAGAAGGCATTCTAGTCAGTGCCCGATTATCACCTATCTAGACATTACTAGTGTGGTTGGCCTCACTAAATCCTCATCAGTGCCCTCTTTTAAATAAGGCGAAGTCGGGCAATTTCCACCCAATACTCCAGTTTTCTCAGTGTTCTTAATTTTTAAAAGTTATTAAAAAATAAATTTTTTTTTATATGATCTTTTTAAAACAAATTTCATTTGACTGATCTAAATTAAACAAATTTTTCTGCTTTTTATTTATAAAGAATAGAAAATTGTTAATTTGTTAAAAATTATGATTTGAAATAGGAAATATTTATACCCATTTTATGCATAATTTTTATTTCTCAATAACAATATTGTTTACAAACTCATTCTTTTATTTAGGAAAAAGAACATTACGCATATTCCCGTTTTTTAATATTTTTGTAGAAAATTTTCAATCTTCATAAGGAAATAATTTTCATCATTTCCAATTTTTTATTACAATTGTTTTGATAAAATACAAAATTTTTTTAAAATAAAGAAAAAAAAGTGTTTATAAATTCTATTTGTCAATCAGAAATTTTAAATGAAAATGAAATTGAAACTTTTTAAATTTTCAGAAAATAAAGAAAAAAATTTTACTCAAAAAAATGTTCTGTTAAATTTATTTACTTTCTTTAATTTATTGTAAAATTATTGAAAAACATCAATAATTACTTTTTTAAATAAATATTTAATTATTCTTATTTATCCACTGGAATTCAGACATTCAAAAATTTCAAATTCAAACCTTTTTGAAATTAAACAACTTTTAAAAGTATTAAGATGATGAAAAAAATCGATCACTCCGAGTCAGGATTCAAAAAACAAAAAAGAAGTAATTTCTTTTAACGTTTCAACAGCACGGCTGTCCTCTTCAGAAACTATAATTTATTAAAAAGAATTTTTTGATGCGAATTATAAACATTTTTACAAAAATTAATTTACAAAAAAATAAAATACAATTATTACCGTAAGAAAAAATTATAAATCATTTAAGTCACACATTGCTTATACAAGACGAACGTCTTCGTCGAAGCAAGAACGATTAGACACTAGTTCAAAATAAGCAACGCAAGTAAAATCGATGAAGATGAGGTGACTGACCCACCAGTAAACAAAAAATAAAAATAATAGAATAGAAGAAATACCAAGGTTAATCAAAGCAGATAAGAGTCACACGTGTTTCTTTTCATTGAGAAAATGGATGTAGTATAGTAGTTATTGAGATTTTGTGTATCATCTTTTTTGTTAACAGAGTTTTTTTTGCAAATTAATGTGGATCATTTCTGATATTAAACGTTTATTATAATTAGACTCTTCGTCGAGTATTAAAAAATTATTCTAATCGAAATTGTGATTTAGCTTGTTATTATGATCAGCAATTACATTAGTCGTAGAGTTTTTATGTTCATTAATAACGTACACCAACATTTCTTTTTGACTGACCAATATAAGAAGCAGAGCAATTACCACAGTTAATTTTATAAACGGTGTTAACATTTTCAGTTTTTTTGCTTTTGTCCTTAGCTTTTTTGACGAGGTTATGACTCATTTTTTTATTATCTATCGATTGCTCCGAGTCGAACACTCGGAGTGATCGATTTCTTAACGATGGCCAAGTGATTAAATCATTTTTTTATATTATAAGAAAATTGTTGCTGTAACTTCTTCAAAATTATTTTCTTCACTTCAATTCAATTGTTGTTTTCTAGAATTTTTAATTATTTTTTATGAAAATATAATCGAATTATTACGAAGAAATTTATAAAAAAATTTTAAATAATTGCATTCCTGTGAAATTTTTATTATTTATGAAAACTTATGAAAGTCAATCGTCTGACCCTGCATTGACTTTTACTATACTAGCTGTTTAATTGTCGAGAAAATAATTATAAATATTTGAAAGTACCTACCTATTTTGTCTGACTAAACATACTTTTACTACTGATTTTTATTTTGTGTAATTCAAATACAAAAATTAAAAGTTAAAAAAAATTGTCTGACTTAATAGACTTTTACTACTGATTCTAATATTTTTAATTCAAATTGAAAAATTAAGAGTTTCTGTTTATAATTTCTGTAATTAAAATAAAATTCTATTTTCTATTTAAAAACCAGAAGAAAAGAAGACCATTGAAGAGAATCATGAATTGTGGCGATAGTTTTTTTTTATTTACAAAGTGTGTAAAAATAAAATTTATCCCCGTTTTCTTTTAATGATAAACTGGAAATCGTAAAAAATGATTATCTCTTATTGATTCTTCTGACATGTATTCGATATCTATGTATGTAGGACAAGCTTTTTTACTCCGAATGTACATATCATTTTCGAAAAATACACACTCTTTTTGCCCGAGACATATTATAGTTTATATGTCGGGTCAGTATATCCGTCAATCTCTTTTGTCAATTTAAAAAAAATAAAAATAACCACAATCACTATATATTTTCTCTCTCTCTCTCTCTCTTTCTCTCCCTCTCTTTTGTTTCTTCAGGGGATTTTATTTTTATTCCATCAAAGATTTTTTTTCTATTTAAAAAAAAATATATATTCAGTAAACTGTGGACTCTATGTTTTTAAATAAATTTAAATACACAAATATTGAAATAAATATTTAACAATCGGGATAATTTTAATCAAAAAGTGAAAAATGTCGAGAGAAAAGAATATTTTTAATCTCTCGTGCTTTATTTAGCAAAATTAATAAACAAATAACAAACTAATAAATATTGTAAACAAACAAATAACGAACTAATAAATATTACCTATAAATAATAGAAAGGAGAATGCATTTTTATAAATAATATGATAATATTTTTTTTATATTAAATAATTTTAATTTTAATTTTAATTAAAATCCCCCCCCCCTTTTTTTTTGAGGAGGAGAAACCGGGAAAAAGAAAAAAATACTTACATGTAATTTGCACATTGGTCTTGTAAGAAACTGAGAGCCTTATCCAAGATTTGCCTTGAGAATTTTGCAGCTGTTCCTTCGGGTTGATTCCCATCACATCTTTTTCTCGTTTCCATTATGACGCACGTTCGAAAGTGATAATGTGCACTGTAGCAATAAATTGTACTCATTAATCCTTTTAAAGGAAGAGGTGAGAATTTTTTTTTTCACCCATCATAGACTCTCTTGTATTGAGGAAATATCGATACAAAAAAAGAGAGGAGAGTTGAAAAAGAAGAAAGAAAAGAAAATTATCACTCGATATTGCAGTGAATCTATATTTTATCTGCGTGTGACGAGAGAATAAAAAATGTGATGCAAGAGAGAACAAAGTGAGCAAAAAAAAAAAGAAATTTAATTACATATTGCAAAAAATGAAAATAATTGATAATAAATAAAAAATACTACTCTGTAAATTTGAATTACTAATTTGAAATAGTGACTGATTTTTTGCTTCTAAGTTGGTAAAAATTACTAATAAATAACTATTTCTACTTATTTATTAGTAAAATTTAGTAATTCGAAAGCAAAAAGTCAGTCACTAATTCAAATTAATAAACATTTTTACTAATTCAAATTCAGAGAGTAAATAAAAAAATAAAAACAATAAATAAAAATTAAATTAATAATAATATCTAATAAAAAAAAATTAAAAATAAATAACAGCCAATAATAATAATAATAATATAATACCTAATAATAATAATAAATAATTAAAATAAAAAAAATTATAGGTAAGAAGAAAAAATTAATTTAAACTCACCAACAGAGATTTGGTTTTACTACTTCTCTTCTCGATACTTCGTTAACAAGTGCTGCATACTGATTACCACAGTGCTCTGAATCAATTACCGTTGACTTTATGCAAGAAGCATGTTGCAAGTACTCTGTTCAAAAAAATTATTTTCCAATTATTTTCACTATAGTATTATTTTTATTTTATATTTCAGAATTGTTCTCCTCTGATCTACTGTTTCTTACCTCATTTTTTTTTACTGTTTAGTAGAAACTTTTAATAGAAAATAATTATAGTGAAAATTCTTCTGCAATTTTCTAATATAGTGTATATTTTTTATTTTTTTGAATATTATTTATTATTTATTTATTTTTCATAAAATATTTATTTACTCCAACGTTTCGAAATCGTTTCGATTTCAGTTTTAAATTTGACTTTGCAGTTTGCAATACGTTTTTACTTAATTTGACAAATTATTTTTATTTTATTTTATTTTATTTTATTTTATTTTATTTTATTTTATTTTATTTTATTTTATTTTATTTTATTTTATTTTATTTTATTGTGAATTATTGTATTGTGAACCGTTATTTATTTAATTATTTATTATCTATGTGTTATTTATTATTTATTTATTGTTTTTATTACCATGACGGATTATTTATTTATTTATGACTCTACTCCATCGTCAGGGCATAAAAAAAATTCAAGTCTTCGTATATTTTAATTATTATTTTTTGACTCCCTGAAGAGGAAATCATTTAGATTTCGAAATATTGGAGTAAATAAATATTTTATTCATTGTCCGAATCTTTTCGTTTAATTTGCCTTAATTTATAAAGGATCTCGGACGTTAAAGATTATTTAACTAATTATTTATTTTTAAAATAAATAGAATTTTTAATTTAGAAATATAATAAAAGAAAAACAATCAGATGATAAATGAAATAAGAAAATAGTTATAAAAGAAAATGTGATAAAAAATTATGAAGAATTCACAATTATTGTCGGATTTAAAATTGGTTTTTACTACTTAGAAAGAAATGTTGAAAAGAAATGTAAAAAAAATTACTTTTGAAATTAATATTTAAAAATAATTTTTGTGAATTAAGAACTCATTTTATTTTCACGCATACGAAAAATGTTGAAGGAGGGGAAATAAACTTTCTGACTAAACATGACCTTTACTACTGATATCGAATTTTTTTTCATTAAAATTGCAAAATTACTATACTGAAACTAAAGTCTTTGAAATTTCGTTTACTATATAACAAAAGGAACGATAAACATTTTTTCTTCAAGTTGTGATAGTAGAAGAAAATAATGTAAAGAAAGAAATAATTTTGTCTGACTTGATACGGTTTTTACTACTGAGGGGGAAAATCAAAAAAGAATCTCTACTCTCCTAAAGCCAAATGGCTAAATCCAACTGGTGTTACTACTGATGAAAATTACAGAGAGTGTATTGTCTGACTATAAATGCCGTTTACTACTTGTATTCAAAATTAACGAGAATTAGAAACGTCTGACTAAAATAAACTTTTATTACTGACTCTTAAAGTTAACCGAAAACGTCTTGTCTGACCTTAAATACCTCTTACTACTAACTCCGAATTTTATTTACTTTATTTTAGTTTGTTCTTTATTATTTATTTATCCAAACCTACGTCATATGTACGTACGTATCTTATAATATGTATCTTACGTATTCGAGACATGCAATTTTATTTATAAAATTAATTTAATTACTTATTCAATTATTAATTTATTAACTTATAAATATTTATTTGTTTAAACATTTCGTCTGACTGAAAATACCTTTTACTAGGTACTGACACAAAATTCAATTTATACTCATGTATTTACTTGATTACTCACTTAATTAGATCTTTATTTGTTTATCTATTTGATTACTTAATTAAATAATTATTTATTTACAAAAAAGAAAATTTAACAACCTTTTTCTATTTTTAGGCAAAAAAAGAATAAAACCAGAAATACTTTTGCTCATTAAAATTATGTAATTATGTAATAATGAATTAATTACCAGTTTGATATGAAGAAACCGAACACATTTGATGGACGGATTCTATTGAAACTTCAACGGCTGAATTAAATTGCTCTCGCCTCTCTTTGGAAAAGCATTTATCAGTGTACCTTCTAATACAGTCCACAAAATTGGACCACGCTCTGTAATTTGAAAACACAAAAAAAAGAACAGAAGAGTAAGTAAAAGAATAATAATGTTTACTATAATTACCAAAAAAAAATTACTCTCAGAGATAGTGTAAATTAAAATTTTTATTTTCTAAAATTTCTCCCCTCTAAATCTCAATATTGACTAATTAAACATTACTAAATATTTTTCCTAATTTTAGAGAATTTCGTGATTTTAAAGTTTATAATAAAGTACAACCACTTCATAAAAAATTTTAACGACAATAGTGTTTTCAACCGAAAGTTTATTATAATAATAGTATAATTTTTTAAAATGATTAATTATTAAAAATTAACAATTTTAACAATAACACTAAACAACAATTTAACAATTTAAACAAATTAAAAAACAAACAAAAACAACAATTTTAACAATTTAACAATTAAAACAATTTAAAAAAAAAACAATTTAACAATTTTCAATAAAACATATATTTAGTCGTAAATAAAGATACATTTTATCTTTACATTGTTATTAAAATATAATTACATGTGATTTTGGACGACAGGGAGGTAAAGTATACTTTTCTCTCCCCGTTATGACGTCATAGGGAGGTAAAGTAACATTCCCTTTCTCTCGTCGGAAAAGACATATTTTCCACCCTCTACACAGGTAAGAAATGATGTACTTTCCGTGCGTGTGTTAGAAAAAATATATTATTTTCTAGAAATATCCTAAATCTATTTAATTTCTTTTTGGAAAAAATTTAAAAATTCTCCATTTATAGAGTACCTAATAAAATAAAATACAATATTTTTTTTCCATGAAGGTTAAAAATTGTTTCACGAATAAAAAAAGAAAATGCAAAAAATAAAAATATAGAGGTCAAAGTGATTGTAAAATTTTTCTCTAGCTCTTGATAAAAAAAAACTAAAAGCAAAAATATGAAAAGAGAAAAAAAAGTATAAAATAAAAAGAATGGAAGAAGTTAACAATCACCTTTTTTAATTTTTGAATATATAGCCGCGAGAAAGTATTATAATGAATAATTAAATAAAAATAAATAAATGAAATAATAAAAATAAATAAAAAATACTAAATTTAATATTAAAAAATATTTTTCAATTATTTTCAAAATATAAAATAAAAATTTGCATGGCTTTTTATTAATTTAGGAATATACGGCTGCGAGGAAGTATTTTAATGAATGTATAGAGTAACTATTTATAATAGAGAAGAAAACTATTTTACAAGATGTAATATATTATAAGGCGCGTGTATTACAAAAGTTTTCCTCTCATTCCCCATAGCGAGAGATATAAAGGTTCTTATAATACACACAACTTGCTCAGTTTAATATTTAGCACGTGAAAGGCAGCTAGTAATTATTCATGCATATTCATATAACGTGCTTGCATTTTTCACATTAAGAGAGAAAGAGATAGTTGGACGTAAACTTTAAAAAAGAAAAGAAGAAAGGAAGAAAAAAGGACGAAGAATTAAAAAAAAAGGAAAAAAAGTAAAAAGAAGAAAAAAGATAGAAAAAAAAGAAAAAAGGAAGAAGAAAGAAAAAAAAAGAAAAAAGGAAATAAGAGAACTTTAAAAAATAACTTCATTTATTCAGGTACTTTTTTTGTTTCAGTCTTTTCTTTTTCGCTTGTCCATTTTCTCTCCATCTTCCTGCTCTTCTTTTTTTATTATTATTATTATTATTATTCTTATTATGTTTGTAAACTGAGTGTGTCATTTCTCGAGAGAATCATATTTCGTCGACTGCATGGAAAATTTGAGAAATGAACTTCTTTTTCCTGGAGTGAACTTATTCTTATCTCTTTTTCTTTTTCTCGAATAAAATTAAAATTCTTCACACCCTGCTAAACTCCATTACTTTGTTGAGAGAGAGAGAGAGAGAGAGAGAGAGAGAGAGAGAGAGAGAGAGAGAGAGAGAGAGAAGAGTGTATATATTACAAAGCAACCAGAAGCATTGTCTTTTGCATTATGATAAATTTTAAAGTAAATTGATATTAATATCCTCATTGTAGACTCTTTTCGTTGGAACAATATTTGCATTTAAGAAAATTTCATTTGAATAATCACGACACAAACTTGTCGGCGAATAAAATGCGAAAATAGTAACGAAAATATTCTTCTCCCGAAATTATTGTGTAAAATATTTTAACTTTTATAAAGTTAATTATTTTTATTCCATAAATAAATTTTAATTATTCGTTTATTCATTTATTTATTCAATTATTTATTTATCTATTTATTTCTTGATTCATTCATTTATTTATTCATTTGTTTATCTATTAATTTATTTGTTTAATTATTTATTTATTTGTTTTGTTTTAATCATTTACTTAAAAATAAATAAACTTTTTGTAATTAATTTATAAATTGACATAATTAATAAAAAAATAATTGTAAATCGGTAAAAATAAATACTACCTACTAATAAATTTTCAAAACAAATAAAATAGTAAAAAAAAATTTTCTCTTCCTCTCTCTCTCTCTCTCTCTCATTCGGTCTACCTTTGAAATGTCAAATTTAAGATAAATGGAATTATGTCGTCGTTCTCTCGTTTTCTGGTCTTGAACTTTATTACTCACATTTATAACCGACTAGGTGAAAAATAGGAGCATCTTGTTCGGAATCGTTAAACCTTGACATAGGACATAAAAAACTATAGTCTATCACCTTCATACATTTTATACATATAAACAAAAGAACCTTCGTGTCTATACGCATAAAAAAAACAAGTTGCAAAATGGAAAAAATTTACAAAATAAAAAAAATTTCCTACGAGATAGAAAAATGTTACACAAAAAAAAGGTATCACAAAATAAAAAGAAGTTTACAAAATAAAGGGTCTATAGTTTCTTATACGACGAATTTAATTAAAATAAATAAAAATAAATGAGTAAAATAAAAAACTGTTCTGAAAATAAAAAAAAGGTTACAAAAATAAAAAACGTTTATACAAAAAAAAAAAGGTTTGCAAAATAAAAAAGTTTACAAAATAAAGAACACAGTTCCATGAAACTACGAATAAATAAATCAAAATAAATATAAGTATATGAATAAGATAAAAAAAAATGTTTAGAAAATAAAAAAATATAAAATAAATGAAAAAAAAAAAAATTCTGAAACAATCAGACAAAAAAAAGGAAAATAACGATTTTTATCTTAGTTACTTTCTCGCAATTGTAATAAACGCAAAAAAAACATAGAAAAAAAATGTTTTAAAAACAAATAATGATCGAAACAAACAGAGCAGGAAAAATTGTCAAATAATAATAATATATGTGTGTGTGTGTTTATTTGAAGTTTCCTAAAAAAACTTTCACGAATAAAAAGTAAAATGGAATTTTTCCAGGTTCTACTTATAGACCTTAGTGAGTTAAAATAAATATATATGTATAATATAGAAATCAATCTTCTTGACGTGGTTTTTTAAATAATAAATAACAAAATCTATTTTGTATATAAAATACTATAGACAATTACCTGCAGACATTATCAATGTCCTTCATATTGTCTGGAAAAATTAATTGTGGATCCTTAAGTAAAGGATCGGCTAAGGCTATGCATTTTTGATGTTCATCTTTCATGCAATTTTCCCCCGTCACCATTATCAATTGATGTGCTGAAAACGAAAAAGAGAAAAAACAATTCCATCAGTTTTGCTTAATTTGGAATTCTTTTTATTTTTCTAATTTTTTTTACTTTCAGTTTCATTCATTTTTTAGTTGGTAATTTTTTTTAATTTTACTCTCTGAATTCGAATTAATGAAAAGTTAATTAAAAATTTCAAAATATTCATTAATTTCTAGAGTAGAATTTTTCACTTATTCTTCCGTAATTAATTTTTAGTTTTTGTTTTAGTGAAAAATTATTAAAAATTTAAAATTAATAGGAAGTTTTACTAAATTCAAATTCATCAATTTAATCAAATTATTTTTATTTTTACGTAAAAAAATTATTTTTTTGTCATTCATTCTTTTATAATTAAATTAATTATTAGTAATATTAATATTATTATGCAATAAAATGTTCTTATTAAGTAAGAAAATAAAAATTTGCGAGGTAAAAAAATAATTCACCCAATTTCATGTTTGAGGTTTAAAAAAATTTTTTTTCCTATATAAATATTCATGACGTTTATCTACTGGGGGTTTAATAAATCCTAAAATAGATTTCGTTTAAGCATGATAAAAGCAAAAAAAAAGGAGCAAAAAAATGGTGGACCATTAAAATAAATTTATTCAAAAAGACAGATCAAAATCTGTCTTTTTGAATATGAGTAAAAAAAAGAAACAAAAATTATTATATCACGCAACTCACCTAGAAACAATGCTCCAAACATTAGAATCCATGACGTCATTTTCCAAAGTGTCTCAAACTCGATAAATTTCGTTTGTGAATATCAAAGTGGAAATTCAATTTTGTAATTTACGATCTTTTATTGGATTATCTTCCAGATTTCGTAATTGAATCGACGGCAACTACAACATAAATTATCAACGAAAGGATATCAATAATAAGGAATTTTTATTTTCCTCTTTTTTTATCCCAAAAAAAGAAAATAAATTTATAAATTTATTTATTCTATAGGAAAAAAATATAAAAGAAAAATGTGTTTTAATCATTTTTTTTATTTATTTTAATATGAATTAATTTTTTAAATAGTAAAATCTTTGTAAAAATTCAATTATATTCAATAAAATTTCACAAAAGAAATCAATTGTTTTCTTATTTCGTTATAAAATTGTTTGAAAGAATTCAATTATTTTTTAAAATTTAAATAAATCCTTCGAAACAATTCAATTATTTTTATAAATAGAAAAATTCTTTGCAAAAATTTAATTATTTTTAATAAAATTTCATGAAAGAATTCATTTTTTTTTAAATTTTTAATCATATATTTATCGAAAAAATTAAATTTTTTAATAAATTTTTCGAAGCAATTCAATTTTTTTTTCTAATTTTTAATAAAAATTTTCGAAAGAATTCAGTTATTTTCTAAAATTTCAATAAATCCTTTGAAACAATTGAATTATTTTTAGAAGTAGAATAATTTATCGCAAGAATAAAATTATTTTTTTAAAATAATAAAATTCTTCTCAGAAGTTCCATTATTTTCAATGCAATTTTAACCCTAGAAGGAGTACGTTAGTTTACTCACCCTCTAAGGAGTAACTGGGGTGTCCCGACACCCCACCCTTATAACTTGTTTTATAAGGTTTATATTTGACGTAAAAAGAATTCATTATAAAGAATTGATTGGTTTTTTAGTAAGGAATACAATAATATTATTTATATTTTGATAAATTAAAAAAATTTTGAAGAAGAACAATAAAAACCCCAAAAAAACACCAAAAAATTGCAAAATTGACTTTTTCACAAAAAACGTTGTAGTTTCTTAAAAATTTGACTAATTTTAAAACTAGTTTAGGTTTTTAAAGTTAAATAGATACACTTTTAGGGGAAAAAATTAGTTTTTGTATTATTTCCAAAAAACATAATTATTTGAACATCTGAAGTGAAAGAAATTAAAGACAATTGACGAATAGTGAAAATCATAAAAATGAATTATAAAATGGACTTTTAAACAATTAATATTTACTAAAAATGGTGTTATAAATTTAAAATTTTACAAACTTAATATATCTGAATATATTAACATTAAAATAATTAACTTATGAAATGATTCTGTAAATTAATATTTAATCAAAGTTTTAATTAACAATTCTTAATAACTCTAATATATGTTAAAATATTATTAACAATATAGAATTTATAATTTAAATTTGACTGTCATATACTACATTTTTCTGTATTAGAATTTAATTTCTGACTGTAGAGAGAGCACAGAAGTTTTTAATAAATCTTAACTCAAATATCATAAGTTGTTACAAATACAGAATGTCTATTTTTCATAAAAATAGAATTTTTGTATAAAAATGTTTCTTTTTTATAAAATACAACTGTTTCATGCATAACCTATCAATTTATACTTTATCAGATGATTTTAACTGATTAAAAACGATTTTTTAAAAAAATTTGAATTTACTTATCTTGACAATTTTTCTAACGTTAGGGAGTAACTGGGGTGTCCAGACACCCCAGACGTATTTTAACAGGAGATAGAGCTCTTCCTAGAGCAAAACTTTGGGCGGCACATACAGGTGTCAAAAGATAGAGGTTCAAACTAAATTATCAACAAGTTTTGAGCGTAAAAAAATTATTGGTTAAGCCATGGGAATACTTTGAATTTTGCTTGGGGTGTCCAGACACCCCAGTTACTCCTTCTAGGGTTAATAAGCTTCAATAATCAAATATTTAATTACAATTATTAGCAGACACAATTATTTTAAAAACTTGAAAGAAATTGTTCATAAAATTCAATTAATTTTCTTTCAAAGTTTTCAATTAAAATTATTAAGGAAATTTTAATAAAATTCTTCTCAAGAAATCAATTAGTTTCATAAATATTAAGTCTTCCAAGGAATTCAAATATTCTCAAATTTTTAGATAAAAATATTACCTAATATAGATGATTATTATTATTATTATTTTAATATATGTAATAATATTAAGCAAATATGAAAAAATATGAAAAAAATAAATAGAAAAAAATTAAAAATAATAATTATTACTGTATATTATTTAATTAATAATTATTAATTTATTATATACCTACAATTAACAATAAATGTCGTCTATTATCGTAAATAATTATTTTTTCTTGATTATTGTAAATAATTCATTATTATTATCAATTACCATAAATTAATAATTATTAAGTTAAAGAAAATTGTTACCGCAGTGTAAATATAAGCGGAAATTAATAATTTAAAAGTTAAAACTTTTTATATAAAAATGTGATGAACTGTACGCCATATATTATAATGAAAGACAAGAACTAAACTGACGGAAATAATAAAAAATATAATAAAAATCATTTCAAAATTCTCAAATATAGGAAATGAAAAGGAACAAAAAAAACAAAAAGGAAGAAAAAAGAAGACAAAAAAATTAATACAATCACAATAAAATTAAATTTCGAAACTTGAAGTCGGAAGAGAAATAAAAAAGCAAACGATTACAATGAAAACAAAAAAAAAATAAATTGAAAAATATTCCAAAAATTCGTTTACTTCCGTTTTATAATAAATATATATGTATATATATTTATAGTAAAATTTCGTCAACCACGATAGAATGAGGATATGACTGTATATATGGGGTCTCCTCTATCTGACAATGCAGAAATGTTCATCCGGGATTTCCATGCTTACATTGTACAATGAGAGTGTTACACCTGAGTGCACCTACGTAATCAGTGAACCGAAATAATGTTGCGTGAATACTCTCCTATCTCATTTCTCCTTTTTTTCGTTAACTCCCTATGCATATATATATAGTATACAACGTGTCAAAAAAAAAAAAAATTGTCCCCTAGTTATAGTATTTCCCCCATTCTTTTTTTTATGTGTGCGTCTACACGCCTCGAATGAATAATAATTACAGTAATTGACACTTCACAGAATTCTCTCACTTTTCAACCTGTTTATTTGCTTTTATTTTATATTTTTTGTCAGAAAAAAAATTAAATAAAAATAATAACATAAGCAACACGTCATCATTTTCACAATTTTTTTTTTTTTTTTTTTAAATAAATAACCGAAATATTATATAAATTAAATGACAATAAATAATAAAACATTATTTCGGTTCACTGATTACCACTAATAATAAATAAAATTCCGGGACGGAAAAAATCCGCAGTCGCAAAGAATCGAACCCTGACCGATGCCGCTTTTGCCACTGAGCAAAAGTGGCTTAAAATCACGTGGCTTAAAATAATAAATTAATAATTAATAAAAATAGTAAAAGTAATAATAATAATAATAATGACACAATGGTAAATTTTTGTATAATTTCGTAGAATTTCGTAATTATAATAATAATAATAATAATAATAATAATAATAAACCTAATTTTTATTAGAATTAAAAAAATAGTTTGTTGCTAATATTATTTTTAATGCTATTTTCTATTTTGGTTTTAGGAAGTTAAAGTTGACTTGAACTTGAACTGACTAAAAAAAGGAAAGAAAAAGGAAAAAAATAACTTGAAGTATTCTTCGATAAACTACTGACTCAGTACGTTTACATGCATGTCGTACTTTTTGCAAGTCTTATGTACGTACATATTTTATGAGAGCACAAAAGCTATAATCAGAATTCAGCCTAAGGCTAACTCTTCGCTTCTCAACACAAAGGAATTTCTTTATGTTCAGAAATCAACTATAGAGGATATAGAAATAAATAAATGAACTGTGGAATGTTTTAATTTTCACAAAATTTCCATACATTTTCTTTCTCTCCTTTTTTCTTGTTTTATTGTATTATTTGCATTTTTGTATAAAATGGCATTTATAAATATTTTGCTATTTTAATTATAATATTAATTATTTTTATATAATATTTATTTATTTAAAGATAAATAAACATAAATGAATAAATATTAATAAATAAATTGTAATAGTACAAATTTATTGATTTATTTTCAATATAATATAAACATGAATTAAAAACAGTTAAAAAAATTTAAGTGAGTAAATAAAGTAAAGTACCTAATAATAAATTATACTAATTTCTCTTTATTTTTGTTAATAAAATTAAACAAATAAAAAATAATTATTAATTATTCACTATTTTTTATTTATTATTTGTCGACCGTATTCATATTAAATAATTATAAATAATTCATTAATAGTAAAAAATAAATTATATAATAATAATAATAATAATAATAATAATAATAATAATAATATCAAAGGTAGTTAGCAAAGGTAGGAAGTTAGCAAAAGAAAAATTAGCAATAATAATTATAAATTAAAAATACCTAGTGAATAATTAATCATTATGTTTTTTTACTTGTTTATATATAGGTATTTATCATTTTTCTCTATTTGTTTAATTTTATTGCTTATATAATAAATAAATAATCAATCATGAATAAATAATAATTAATAAGAAATAATAATATTGAAATAGTAGCAAATAACAAAATAAGAAAAAAAACAAAATCCAACAAAAAAAAAAAAATAAATATCAAATAAATAATAAAATAATTCCTATATTTGTGTGTATATTATTGGCGTAATTACAGGGATCAGTGATGTTTTTACTCATTTACATGCACTTCTACGTGTAGCTTTACAAAGTCCACGGATTATTCGAGATTATATTGTATAAGCTTCAAGTTAACACTAATTGGTATAGTAAAATTCCAGAATATTTAAATTTGTACAAGTTATTATTTTTTTATATAATTTTTTTTTTGGTTTTACAAATATTTTCTTTTTAAAATTTCAATACAATGGCTAAATTTTTAGTTGTTTCAGTTAAAACTTTCGGTATTTTAAAGAAATTTTTCCCCTGAAAAAAAGGTAAACTTTTTTTCCGTATATTTATATAGTAATAATATCGAAATATAATTATGAAAAATAGTAATAAAAATAAAAGAGTAGTAAAATAATGATAATAATAAAAAAAAATTGAATAGAAAATGATATAAATATAAAAATAGAAATAAAAAAACTAATGATTAAAGAAATAATAATAGCACTAATAAAAAGAAGTTGGTAATTTGTTACATGATCGATATAGATAATTTTCTTTCTATATATTTGCGTATATATATATATATATAGAAAAGGATACCTTTATTAATTTTAAGTATTTGTGGAAAATTTAGACATTTTATTACTCAAGAAACTCCAAACACACGTAATATGGCTATTTTTAATAATTAAAAACAAAGTTGTTATAAATCATCTTTTTTTAATTTTTATTCGTTATGTACTATATTAATTAGTCGAATTAATTATATAAAGTAAGCATAATATTTGTTACATATGTACAATACGAATAATTGTAATATATTATGCTACTTTTAAGAAGAGGAAAAATTTTATATATTTATTTATATTTTTTTAATTTTGTTTAATTTTATTTAATTTTTAATATTTATTTTTAATATTTATTGTAAATAATATTCATTAGTCATATTACTATCATCCCAATGGGAAATTTACAACTGGCGTAGTACTGCGCCAGCACTGGCAGCACTGGCGGCAAGGCTGAGAGCCAGCACTGGCATAACTCTGGGATGATAACGCCGTCCGGCACTGCCGAAGTACTGTCTGTCAGTGCTGCCAGACAGCGCTGGCGCAGCACTGGACCAGTGCTGGCTGAGAATATTGCCGCAATAAATGCCGTATTGTTATTAATTAGTCGTAAATTCATAATTATAAATAATTTAACAACAAAATGGTAAATAATATTAATAAATAGTTATTATTCATAAAATATTTCTCTTTTTAATTAAATTGTATTAAAGATGGAGACTAACAATGGATATAGTAAATGAAGTTGAAAAAATTGTTTATAACATTTAAAAATTAAATAATAAACAATTACAGTAAGTGTGCATTAAATTTTCATATTTTAGTACCTAACGATTGGAATCTAGAAATATCGCAAACCTATGAAAATAAACAAAATTGCTGACGAGGGGAATCGAACCTACGACCTACGGACTAACAGACTAACGCTCTAACCACTATGCTAACGACACATGTGTACAGTAAATTATTAATATCTCAGTATCATTCAGACATACAATTATTGAGTCAAAGATGAGAAAAAAATAGGGATACGTTAGAAATAATAAATTGAAATAAAATAAATTGAACTAAATTTTTAATAATTAAATTACTTTACTTACTGCATTTAACATTTTACGTAATTCTTAAATTACGTGGTAATTTTTTAATAATTTTTTATTCATAGTAAGAAGTATAATAGTATTTTAATAGGAACCAAATTATTATTGAGATTAAAGTTTAAATTTTGTTTATAATTTTAATTTGTTTAAATAGTTTATTATTTACAAAATTAGACAATTGTGTTAAATTGTTATTATTAAATTTGACAAGAATAAAAAATGAACAACTGAAAAGTAAAATATTAATTTTTTTCAATAAATTTATATTTATAAACATTCATAAACTTTTTTTATAATTTTTTTCAAGTTTATGTCAAAAAAGCAATGTTGGCAAAGAGCGTTGTGAACAATTTTTCTATACTCAGCCAGCACTTGCCGCCGTGGCTTGTCCAAGCTTTGGCGAAACAAAAATTCTGTACTGCGCCAGCACTGATTGTCGAGGCTCGGCTAGACTACGCCGAACAATCGTCTGAGTACTAAGCCAGTGGTGAACATCGGCACTACACTGGCATTTCCCATTGGGATATTGTAAATATTTATTTATATTATATTACTTTAAAAAAGTTGGTAATATTTTTGAAGATGAACAAAAAAATCTATTTTGCTATAATTTAGATATTAAATTATTAATATTGTTATTAATATTAATATTTTTAGTATAATTATTTTTACAATATTATTGTACTATTTTTACCACTTCTATATTCCTATAAAGTTTCGAACAATTAAAACAAAAGATGATATTTTTTTTCAATAATTTTAATTTGTATTTTTTTACAGAAAAACAATTATTAATTTAATTAAATTTAAATATTTAAATTTAATTACTTAGTTAAAAATTAATTACTTTAAGAAATTAATTTTTAATTATAAGTAATTATATTTAAATTTAATTACTTGTTTCTTCTTTGAATAGTAATTTTTAAATGTATTTAAGGGCATTTGAACCTTGATGACGTTTCAGTTTGTGCAAAGCATGTGTGACGTCATCAAGTTTCAAATGCCCTTAAGAAGACAAAAAATTCCATTCACTTGAACTTCCAAAAATGAATGAAAATTTAGTGTTTTTATTTTTAATTATAATCATTAAAATATTATTATTATTATTAGGCATTTTTATTCGTGATTATTATTAACATTTTTCATTTTTTATATTTTTATTCTGTTATTTTTCTTTTTATTCATTTATTTTTAGATATTCTTCTTGCTATTGTTACTTTATTATATTACAACTTTTTCATTAAAAATTTATCACCTAATTTTATATCAAGCTAAAAAAATATCAAAATGTAATTAATTTTATTTTTATTAAAAATAAGGCAGTTGCTGGAAAGTAAATGAAATTTATTAATTATTATATTTAATAAAAAAATATCAAAGTGTAATTGATTTTATTTTTATTAAAAATAAGGCAGTTGCTCGAAAGTGAATGAAGTTTATTAATTATTATATTTAACTACTTTAAATTCATTAGTTTATATTATTAATTAATAATATATTTATTTACTCTCTATGCAATTTTGCAGGGTTCGAGGATCCTCATACTATATTATTAATTAATATTTATTTTCATGGTAATTTATTATTAATTCAAATGAATAATTATGATAATTTTTTTGGTTTACATATATTATTAGTTTATTAATTATTGTATAAATTATTATTACTTTACTATTATTAAATTATTATAAATTACTATTAATTTATTATCAATATTTATTATTATTATTGTTATTATTATTATTTTTAATTTTTTAACATTCATTATTATCAATTAACATTAAATTTAATTATTAATAATTGATATTAATTGGTAATTTACTAAACAATACTTTCTAAATCTGAATCAGTGAAATTCCACTAAAAACCAGTGAAATTTGACTGAGAATCAGTGACTCTATTCTCGCGATTTGAATCAGTAAAATTTCACTGAAAATCAGTTAAAAATAACTGAAATTTCAGTCATTTTCCACTGATTCGCCAATTAAAAAACTACTGAAAATCTCTGTCACACATATTGAAAATTTCAGTTATTTTTTAATTGGCCAATCAGTGAAAAATGACTGAAATTTCACTGATTCAAATTACGAGAATAGAGTCACTGATTCTCAGTCAAATTTCACTGATTCAGTTTTAGAGAGTAAACTAATAAACAAATTAAAAATTTGTTATAAAAAGACATGAGTATTAGTTTATATTATTATTTATTGTACTAACTAACAATTACTAATTTACTAAATACTGACTAATAATTTTGTATGAAATGACATGAGTATTAGTTTATATTATTAGTATATTTTATTATTTTATTATTATTATTTTATTATTATTTTACTATTAGTAATTTATTGTAAATTTATTATTAATTTTTATTCATATTAATTAATATTAATTGTCATTTTTTTCTAATAAGAGAACAACGAAATTTTTATCAACGTTCATGTGCCATTCATTATTATATATACACATTGTTGCAAACACGTGCACCGGCTTCAGTATATTATTTCCCGTCGCAATATTAAATGTAAAGAAATGAATTTTAATCGCATTTCCATAAATAATTAACAGAATTTAAAAAGAAACACCACCTCTTCATTTTGCCAACTATTTTTGTGAAAATTAATTAAAAAAAACCTCCCTCTTCACTATTTTCACTATATTTATTACTTAGAAGAAAAGAAGAAAGATGGTGTTGAATAAAATAAGAAAAAAAAGGAAAATTTCCACCAAGGTGATATATTTAATGAGTAAAATGGAGTGCAGAACCGTAAAAAATGCAATAACTCTTACCCACAACATAGCATTTTTTTCTTCTACTTTCACTATATATATGTATATATATATATATACGTAGACTAGAAATTCGCTATAGAATTCCTTAACATTTCTTCTTTCATATCAGTCTCAATATACAAAAATAAAGGGCGAAGATTATTAATATTTTTCGACTTTTCCCATCACATGCGTAGTAAACACTTGAAATATTTCATGGCAAGCACTTTGAGTATAAAAAGAGACAACCAAAAATTATAAATTCTAGAACAAAAAAAAAGAGTTGAAAATATTTTTGAATAAAACTTGTTTTTTTTTCAAAAACAAAACAGCGGAAAAAATTTGAACTTTTTGCGCGCGTTACAAGAAATAGACTGAATTGTATTTTGTACTTGTATACTACTATATGTATAAGTGTGTGGGTGTATATATATGTATATTTTCAGTATGTTTTGTTGATTTGAAACCTGAACGACTCGCGTTGCACTGGTCTACTGCTTTACAACCAACGGATCTACACCCTGTGATTCTTTGGTTCTCTGAACCTATTGGCAAAAGTAACGTCCGACACGCGCGCGCACACACATTCACACATGCTGTGCAGGTACAATTTCTACTGACCGCATTAAAACAACTTGGAATTCAATTAATCTAAATGCCGCCTAACAATCAGAATAAAACGAGATGAACAGAAACGCGTGAAAAATCACAACAGTTTTCCATAGGAGAGAGAGGGGGGGGGGGGAGGAAAAAAACACTATTTTCTTTTTTGTTCGTTATTGGTGTAAAATTTGTCGAAACAATTCATTGATGTAAAGTTTACACTTCTTATAATGAAGTTCGAACTTCTTGAAGTCAGATTTTTACTCTTGAATATATTCTTCTGCACTCATAAGAGGAAGTTTAAACTATTTAGAGCAAACTTTACACTCTTAAGTAAAGTTTACGCCTCTCAAGGTAAATTTTACACCCCTCAGAGTGAAGTTTACACTCCTTTGAGTAAAGTTTATACTCTACAGAATGAATTTTCTACACGTATTTAGAAAAATATAAAGTAACTTTTACTACTTTTATAGTACAGTGGAACCTCGATTATCCGAACCTCTGTTATCCGAACCCTCTATTATCCGAACCGAAAATCATTTTATCCGAACTTCTATTATCCGAACTTTTTTTTGGCCTCCCGAATCTTTCAAAGGAAAATAACGAAATTTATGCCAGAAAAATCTTAAAAAATTCTAAATTCTATGTTTTATTAATATATATTTACGTATATAATATACTTATGTATATTTAAAAAATGGATTAAATGAAATATATATAATTCAACTGTCGATTTTTTTACTTTAATTATATAAAAAAATTAAAATCTCTATTATCCGAACTTTCGATTATCCGAACCCGGCCTTGCCTTGGTTAGTTCGGATAATCGAGGTTCCACTGTAAAACATTTCTGTTAACTTCTACTATACTGTCGGAGAAAATTTTGCCACGTTCGAAGTAAATTTATTCCGAAAGTAGTGAAAGTTATCAGAAATGCTTTAGGGTCAAAATTTGTGAAATCTTTACGAGTAATAAAAAGTATTTTTTTTAAATCTAAATGTTTAAAAAACATTTCTGTTTGGCCTTAGGAATGTGTCTACCAAAGAACAACATTACAGTCGTTCAAAAGATGGGTGGTGGGTGGTCGCCTTGGGGCCCCTTACCCTATAAACAATTAATTTTTTTTTAATGTTCTGCGCCTTTTAAAAATTTGGAAAAAAATCTCAACATACAATTAAAACTATAAGGAATCGAAATCCGTTGAGAAAATTTAGGAGCGGCAATTATTTTAAAAGTTTATTATTTTCAACTACGAAATGAACAAAACACTGTCGAATTAACATTAGCATTTAATTATATAACCATAAAAATGATCAAAAACTAAGTATAGCATTTAATTTTCATTATAACTTTTAAAATAATTGTTTATAAAAAATTTATTAAATAATTATTAAAAAATAAACTTTTTCCCTTTATATTCCCACTTGGTTCATTCAAGTCGGTTAATTCATTCAGGAGAAATAAAATTTTGTTTAAAAAGTTTCAAAAAAATTCATTTTTCAATAACTTTTATAAAAAAATTTTTTTTTTGTTTCTTGGTAGACACATTCCTAAGGCCAAATAGAAATGTTATTTCAACATTTCGATTTAAAAAAAATACTTTTTATTTTTTGTGAAAATTTTACGAATTCTGATCCTTTACCATGGTATTTTCTGCAGAAATGTTTTACTGTGAAAGTAATAAAAGTTACTTTATATTTTCCTCCGTGTACTATTGAATAAAGTTAACTTTCCTTAAAGTTAAGTTTGCAATCCTGTACTGAAGTTTTACACTTTTCAGTAAAGTTTACTCTGCTTAGAGTGAATTTTTCACTACTGAATAAAGTTTACTTTTCTTATAGTGATGTCTACAATCCTGAACTGAAGTTTGCACACTTAAGAGTAAATTTCATACTTTCCAGTAGTTTATTCTGCATAGAGTGAAGTTTGTACCAATTAGAATAAGATTTACGCCTATTAGAGTAGATTTTACACTTTTCATTTAAATTTACTATCCTCAAAAGGTTAAACTATTTAGAGCGAATTTTACACTCTTGAATAAAGTTTACTCTATACTTAGAGTGAAGTTTACACTCTATACGGTGAACTTCCTACTATTCAATAAAATTTACTTTTCTCAGAGTTAAGTTTCCAATCCTGTACTGCAATTTAAACACTTTAGAGTAAATTTCACACTATTCATTAAAGTTTACCCTAAAAAGAATGCTACTTAATACTTAGTGCTACACCTATTAGAGTGAATTTGGCATTCTTCGGAGTAAATTTATCACTATTAAATAAATAGTTCAAACTTTGCCTAGAGAGTAAATTTAAATGAAGAGTGTAAACTTTACTCTAATGGGTGTAAACTTCACTCTATGTATAGTAAACTTTACACCCATTAGAGTAAAGTTTACACTCTTCATTTAAATTTATTCTACTCAAGGTAAAGTTTGAACTATTTAGGGCGAATTTTACATACTTGAGCAAAGTAAAAATCCTCTAGGTAAAGTTTACACGCTAAAAATATGAGGTTTAAACTCTTTATTGTAAAGTTCACTCGCCTACGGGTAAAGTTTGCCATACTAAACTGAAGTTTTCACACTTTGGAGTAAATTTCATACTTCTAAGGAAAGTTTACTCTACTTAGAGAGAAGTTTACACTCTTCAGTAAAGTTTACTATCCTCAGGGTAAAGTTTACACTCTTTACAGTACAGTTTATACTGTAAGTGTAAAGTTTTCTCTCTTCAGAGTAAATTTTACACTCTTTAAAGTAAATTGGTTACCATTGAGTGAAGTTTTAAGTATAAAAATGAAGTTTAAGGTCCTAAAATGGAAGTCACACTCTCTGAAGTAAAATATTGAATCTTGAGAAAAGTTTACACTCTTAACAGCATGTGATTGTTACAGAATTCAAAGTTAATTTTTTCGACCACTTTTCTCTTAAAATATTAAATAAATTAAGCTAGTTTTTTGTGAATAACTCTAAAATATAATAAAGAAGAGCAGTGATGTGCAAAAGTTTTAATAATTCTAAAATAAATTATAAAAAAATACTTTGAAATCGGAAAAGACGAGAAATTGATTAAAAGTGATTTTGAGAACTGATAATTTTAAAGTTATTTTTTAATAAATAATTTTAAAAATATTAAAACTTTTTCACATCACTGCCCTTCTTTATGATATTTTAGAGTTATTCACAAAAAACTAGCTTAATTTATTTAATATTTTAAGAGAAAAGTGGTCGAAAAAATTAACTTTGAATTCTGTAACAATCACATGCTGTTAAAATGAAGTTTATGCTCTTTTGAAATGAACTTTACACTTTTCAGTAAAATTTACTCTACTTAAAGTGAAGTCTACACCCATAATGTGAATTTTGCACACTGAGAAAACATTATAATACTAAATTCAAAAAGAAAAATAATTTTAAGTGATTTTGTTTAATTGAAATTAGTTTGTAAGCTTAATCCCAATATATATAGAAAATAACTACTGCACTGTAAAAAAAGGGAGTTAAATTTTAACTCCCCAGGGGATTCTATAAAAGTCGCACCCATTGGCGAGTTAATGCCAGGGGAGTTAAATAAAGAGAGTTAAAATTTCACACCCAAATGCTAACTCCCCAAGGAAAAAATAACTCGCGCGGGTGTTGAATGAAGGGAGTTAGAAATTAACTCTCTTTTGGAGTTGATTTTTAACTCGAAAAATTTCACTCCCAACTCCCTAAATTTTTTACAGTGTATGTTTCAATTAAACTTAAATATGTTTGACTGTATAGAAAAGATATTTTAAGTTTGATTTAAACAAAATATGTTTTAATCAAATAAATCGTTTTCTCAATACACTCTTCAGAGTAAATTTATTTTTTATTGAATAAAGTTTACAATTCTGAACTGAAGTTTAAACATTTTGGAGTAAATTTCACACTTTTCAATAAAGTTTACACTCTTCAGTAAAATTTACTATTCTCGGGGTAAATTTTACAGTCTTTTTAGTGAATTTTATACTCTTCGGTAAAGTTTACACACCTCAGAGTAAAGTTTACACACTTTGGAGTGAATTTTACACAGAGAATGAAATTAAAACTCGTCATTAAATTTTATATTCCAAAAATTAAGTTTATACTTCTTAAAAAAAAGTTTACACTCTTTAGAGTTAATTTTTTCACTTTTATGAAAAGTTTGTTTTTCTTCAAGTGAAGTTTCAACTCCAAAAATGAAGTTTACGCTAATATCATATCAGCGTGCGGAAAAGTAATTGAGTTAAAAAAAAACCTTCTGAATATAACAATAAATTACAAAAATGAAAATTGTTCTTAAAATCGCAAGAAACTTAAACAAATTCAAATCTCAGGTAATTAAGAACTTTTATCGCAAAAATGGACAATATACGTTAATAAATCAGTGATCCATTTAGAGAGAAAATTCGATGATATATTTATATACATAACTCTGCGGCTCGAGTGGAGCGCACAAGTTTTATATAAGTGGCGGTCTAATTTTTTTTTCTTTCTTTTTGCGCACAAGTGGCAGAATTAATTTGATGCTCCTGGCGATGGGATAAATTTAACAGAAGGTGGAACGACCAACCCTTTTGCTTTATACCGTATGTTAAGACGGTCAAGCAGGGTCGATAATCTCTGGGTCGGCCGACTCGTCACGCAATGGCAAAACCTACCCTGTAAGACGACCATACACTCGAATAAGTGACGCTAAAACTTTCAGATTTGCCACACATTATATACGAACATTGATATTGAAAACAACTTCCCTTGAATCGACCATTAGGTCATTTTCTTTTTTCTTTTCCCTTGGATTTTAATATATATTTTCTTTTCTTGTTGCTTGATTTTTATTTATTTAATTAACTTTAATTAATTACTACTTATGATTGTAGAGTTCAAAAAAAGTGTTTTTCTATACTTTAAATAAGGTAAAAATTATTTTCCCCTTTGTGAACCAATAAAACGAATACAAACTATAATAAAATTCTTCTGTAAAATTCAATTATTTCCAAAAATTTTAGTAAAATTCTTCAGAAAATTTCAATTATTCTAAAAAAATTTCCTGAATTCAACGCGATTTTGGACAAAAAAATTCAAAAAATTTGAAATAATATTATTAAAAGAAAAATAATTTTTGAAATTCAAACATATTTTTTTATTAACTTTTCTTTAAAAATCTTCACCATATCATGTTTTATATATGTTCTAGAATAGTTTTTAGTACAAAAAATTTATTTCAAATTTTTCCAATTTTTTTGTCCAACTTTGACGTCATGCTTATTCCAAATTAGAAATTACAGGTTAATGCCTATAAGTAATTCTTATTCCGTAGAAAACGACCTTTAAAATAAGCCTAAGATTATTAAAAAGCGTTCATTATTTTAGAAGTTATTCAAATTTTTGTAAAACATTGAAAATGACGATTTTTAAGAATATCTTCTACAAATTTTGGCCAAATAACTTCTGTGAGGTCTTATTCTTTTCAAAATTTTATCGTCTTTCAAAATATAAACCAAAAAAATTTTGAGTTTTCATAAATTTTATGTTAAAAAATTTTTTTCATTCCTTCGAAAATGGGTGGACTGACAATTTTGGCCGGTACTGTATTCAATTATTTTCATAAATAATAAAATTTTTACAAGGATTCAATTATTTTCGTAAATCATAAAATTCTTTTTAGGAATTCAATTGAGCTGGGGGCCTACTGGAACGGATAACTGCCTGCAACGCATGGTCGAAAGGGACTATACCAGTTAGACATCAGTGAGAGGCCTAGAGGCGCTCACTATTGTCTAACTGGTATTAATTTTGAAAAGATTTCAAATTAAAATCTTTGAAAATCTAAATTTTTCATATTTCTAACTTCTCAAAGAACTTTTTCAAAAATTATTAAAAATAATGGATTTATGGAAAAATTTAAATTAAGAGCACTAAAAACAAAATTCAATTTTGGAGAAATTACAAATTATTGCAGAAATTCAATTATTTTTAAGAGTATAATAAAATGCTTGGCACAAATTTAATTATGTTCTAAAATAATAAAATTCTTCTTAGGGATTCAATTATTTTCACAAATAATAAAACTCATCGCAGAATTTCAATTATTTTTAATACAATATTTTAATCAAATTTCTCGAAAAATGTAATTATTCTTAAAAATTTTATTAAAATTCGTCTTAAGAATTTAATTATTTAGGTAAAAATCATTCATTTTCTTCATATTAAAAGGTTAAACTTTTTCAAAACTGATTCGATTTAAGTCTATGATGGATTTTTTTCTTCAGAAAATTATTCTCTACAATTTGACCGCTCAGATTTATAAACAAATACACCGTTTTGAAAAATGCTTATTTTTGTTTAAAAAAAAGTGATTTAATTTGAAAAATTATTTTTTAAACAAATAAGCATATTTTCAAAACGGTGTATTTGTTTATAAATCTCAACGGCCAAGTTATAGAGAACCATTTTCTGAAGAAAATAAGCCATCAATGACTTAAATCGAATCAGTTTTGAAAAAGTTTAACCTTTTAATATGAAGAAAAGTTTGATCATATGCAAAATGACTAAATAAACAATTTTTGTAAGTTTCAAATTTTTTTTTGAAATTTGATATTTTTTCTTCCAGAAGATACGAATAACAATATATTATTCTTACAATAAGAATAATATTCTTGGCGCATATTTAAGTAGAATTTTCTTAAATTTAGAATTTAATTTTTTTTCATATGGTTTTTTAATTATTTTTAATTAAAAGTCCCAATTACCGGAACTATAGAAAAAATCGTTATAGAACTAAATAACTATTCCTAAAGAACCCAGAACTCATGAGATTTTTTTCATTTTTTGAAAAAGTGGTGCTAACTTTACATGACTAAATTGTTCTCTTATTTGACTTAGGACTGGTTCTATTTTTGACAGTAATTGGTCCACAATTTTTCATTTTTCATCCGTAAAGTCCGTATTTTTAAATACTTTCACTGGTTCGATCCTACAAAAGAAATAAATTTAATTTCTGATTTAACAAAATTGAAACCCTCCTTCAACAAAATACACATTCCCTGGTTGATTCCAATCAGAAACTTACTAATGTGCACTTCAATGTTGAACTTTATTGGAATTTAAGAGGAAAATAGAGAACCACAGAGAGAGAGAGGGGAAGAGGAGAAAAAAAAATAATCTTTAACGTAAAACTTGCTTATCAAAAGCAATTTCGTATGCTCTAATTTAATTTTCCTTAAATTAATTAATTCCATTTCTGAGTTCGAAGTTTAACAAGGTTCCAAACACAATACACATTCCCTAGTGATTATAGTATCATCTCGACGACCTTACCAAATATATTTCTAAAGTGGACAAACCTCCGGCAATAATAATGAGTCGTTGGAGAGAATGGGAGAAGAAGGACATCGCGCGATAGAGACGGGAAACAATAATTTCCACCAAACCAAAGGGAATATCCGCGAATTACCATAACAAGTAGGTTGCCGGAAACAACATAACGTTAGTTTGCCGTACCACACTGCATTCACGTCTATATAATAATAAATATTTCATAAGCATTTCACCAAATGGAGAAAAAAAAATTAATGGAAAACTTTATTTTCAGTATTTTATTGATGGCATTTTTGTAAATTATTTTTATTTCATTTTACAACTAAAAGCGAAAATTTTCTTCGGGAAATAACAATTTTCAGAATTAATTTTTTTTTATTTTGTTATATATTATATATTATCAATATTCTAAATTGTTAAATTATGTAACAATTATTTTTGCCGCTAATATAAATTAATTTATTTTCAATTTTCTCTTTATATTTTACAGCGAGAAATTTTTAAAAACAAATTTATTTTTACTTACTAAATAATTACTACATTTCTGGACTTTTTTTGCTAACAAATTTTGAATAACAAGTTTATTTTTCTTAAAAATTTACTACATTTCTGGTCTTTTTTTACTAACAAGCTTTTAATAACAAATTTATTTTTACTTAAAAATGTACAATTCCAGCCTTTTTTTACTAACAAATTTATTTTTATTTAAAAATTAACTGAATTTCTATTATTTTTTAACTAACAAATTTTTAGTGACAAATCTATTTTTATTCTTAAAAATTTACATTTTCTGCTTTTTTTTATTAAAAAATTTTTAATAAATTTATTTTTACTGTAAAATTTATTGCATTGTTGGTCTTTTTTTTACTAACAAATTTTCAATAACAAATTTATTTTCCTTAAAAATGTACATTTTATGACTTTTTTTATTAAAAAATTTTTAATAACTACATATTTTTACTTTAAAATTTATTACATTTTTGGTCTTTTTTTACTAACAAACTTTTAATAACAAATTTATTTTTACTTAAAAATTTACAATTCCGACCTTTTCTTAGTAACTTATACTAAATTTCTATCCTTTCCAATTTTTTTTAATTCCTCGTAATCTTCTTTACCCTTTTTCATGATTTTTCAATACTTTTTAATCTACTTTTAATTTTTTTAATTATAAACTTTTAAATAAAAATCAATTAATTAATATTTTTTCTAGTTTAATTTTAAAATGCCAAAAAAGGGAAAAATACCTTTTAGAAGACAATATAATGGCCTTTTCTTACTAACAAATTTATTTTTACTTAAAAAATTACATTTCCGGCCATATTGTACTGACAAATTTTTAAAAACAAATTTATTTTTACTTAAAAATTTTAATTTTTGTCCTTTTTTTACTAACAAATTTTTAATAACGAATTTATATTTACTACTTTTTTGGCCCTTTTTGACAAAAAATATATTTTTACTTGCTAAATATTGTTAATCCCTTCCATAATTTCTATCAAGTCCTTTTTAATCCTTTATAATGATTTTTTAATACTTTTTAATCTATTTTTAATTATTATGAATATAATAAAGCTGTAAATCAAATAAAATAGAAATGAAATAAAAATTAATAAAAAGCAACTAATTAATAATTTTTTTATATTTTAACTTAAAAATAAAAAAAAGGATAAAAACTACCTTTCAGAAGACAATTCACTGAAGTTATTTTACTAACAAATTTTTACTAATATAAATTTATTTTTATTTACGGAATTAACTACATTTACTGAAATATCTTGTGCTAATAAATTTTTAATAAACCAATTTATTTTTATTTTCTAAATTTATTATACATTTACTGACATTTCTATTTACTAACAATTTACCAACAAATAAAAATCAAAAATCTATTTATAAACAAATATAATAAAATGTATCTATATAATTTTATGTCAATTGGAATTAGCATTAAAAGTTAATTGGCGTTTAATTTCCAAAATAGAATTTGCATGAAAAACATTTTCGATTTTGAATTAATTCAAGAACATGAAAAAATTCTTTCCACTTTTTCTTTAATTATGTAGTAAGTGTAAAAAAAATGTTTTTCACCGTCAATTTTTGATAAAATATTAATGATAAATAACGATTTTTTTTTCTTTTCTTCCTACCCATTTTTTTCTCTTATTCTTTGTTCGTTTCTTTTCTTCGCTCCACAAAGCGAAGGAAACTTTACCTCCCAACAAGAAAATGGAACGGTAATCAGCAATCGCATTGTATATTTTGTAAGTAGCGATAAGTGCCAAGAAACGTGAACTGACGATCTTACATAAGTTCATAACCCCTTTACCTTTCGTGTGCAATTTGTGCGAGCGCGCAAAAATGGAAGAAAAAAAAACTTGAAAAAAATAAAGAAATTAAGGGTAAAAGAAAAGATTTGTCTGGAAATAGTGTTCTTTATTTTTAATTTCTATTTTCTACAGTAATATACATTTTGCGCTTGATTTTGAGCAAAATATTATTTATAATAATAAGTATGTTAATAATTCGTCAAATAAATTAATCCCCAGAGATAAATTTCAATTCTTTTTTGTAAAATCTTAAAAAGCAAGAGAGAAGACAGATAATTTTTTTTTTATTTTAATCTTCCTCGTACGAAACACCAAGTTGTTTTCGCAATTCATCTTCCAATTCAGCAAGCAACAAAGAGTCTGCGTGAGAGACTCGTGGACTCTCCTTTAATCCTGAAAAAAAAACAAAAAAATACGATTTTTAAAAGGAAATTATTAATTATTATAATAATCGTGGTACTTATAATAATAATAATTTTAATAATAATAATTTATTAAATATAACAACTTTACTCAAAGAAGATAACAATTTATTCAATATAATATAAAACTAGCAACAATTCGCGCGCGGCTAACTTTTTACTCACTTTTTTAAATAAAATTTTAAATAAAATTAGCAATTTTAAAAACAATACAATTTAAAAATTTGTAATTTCAATTTATTTTCATAAAAATAAAATATGAATTGGAATATAGTTTTAATATTATTATAACTATAATAATCATTATATTTTGACACAGGGATTTTTATTAAAATTACTGAAAAAAATTAAATTTTTAGAATTCATAAGAAAATTCTGAATTTTTGTCTTCTTTGTTTGACTCATGAACTATAAAATTACCACGAATTCTAATACAAATTAAACCTTCAATTTTGTCAATTTTTGACAAAAATTTATATAACTTAAATCTTGAACAATTATCATAAAATAAATAAATTATTTAATGAATAATATTTTACTTAAATATTTGAAAATTAATTTAATTTTAAAATAGTTGCGTTTACAATTTTCTTAAATAAATGAACTTCAAAAGGTTTTAATTTGAAATTTTATACAATTTCAATTTTCAATTATGTTCAATTATGTTCAAAATTGAAAAAAAATCTCGTCAAAATCCCAATTATCTTTATAAATAATAAAATTCTTCTTCACAATTCAATTATTAAGGAAAAATATTTTTCTCATTTCAATAATTTTCAATATCTCTACTATTTTAATAATACTACCTAATAGAAATCAATTATTTAAAAAATTTTTTTAAAAAATTGTACGCAAACATAATTTAATTATTTTCATAAATAATAAAACTCTTCGCAGAATTTCAATTATTTTTTAATACAATTTTATCGAATTCCTTGTGGAAAAATCGTCAAAGAATTCAATTATTTAAAAATTTAGTAATAAATTTTTTATAAAAATTAAATTTTAAGAAACATTCAATAAATAATTTACTTTTCTATTTAAATAATTGAATTCTTCTAGAATTTTCTAATAAAAATCGATTTAAAAATAATTTTAGATATGAAAATAATTTTGAAGAAGTTACAGTAACAATATTCTTATAATAAAAATAATAATTTTATGTCTCGAACATCTTCATTTTTTATAACAATATTTTTAAAATTGTTTAAATTTCAAAAATGTTTGAATTTGAAATTTTTTAAAATCTTAATTCCTATAGAAAAATAATAATAATTAAATATTTACTTAAAAAAGAAGTTATTGTTGTTTTCGAATAATTTTAAAGAAATTCGTAAATAAATGTAACAGAACATTTTTTTCCATTATTTTCTAAAAACTCAATAATTTTCAATTTCATTTTCAATTAAAATTTGTAATTTTGGCAAATAGAATTTATAAACATTTTTTTCCTTCATTTTTGAAAAACTGAATTTTATTAAAACAATTGTAAGGGGCCATTCAAGTATTACGTAAGCATATTTTTCAGGTTTTTAGACCCCCCCTCCCCCATATAAGATTTTTTATATGCATTAGCGCCACTTTTTCTAATGGAAATAAGCAATAGCTAGACAGTTTAGCTATCAGTTTATGTGAACAATATTGTTATTGAGAAATAAAAATTATGCATAAAATGGATATATTTCCTATTTCTTAACCATAATTTTTTAACAATTTTCTATTTTTTATAAATAAAAAGGAGACAAATTTGCATAATTTAGATCAGTCAAATAAAATTTGTTATAAAAAAAGCATATAATATACAAAATGGGTATATTTTTCATTTGTTAAACATCATTTTTTTTAAATTTTCTAATTTCTAATATTATTTTGTTATGCATAATAATGCATAATAATTCATGAATCATGAAAAAATACCTGCATATTTTCGATTTCTTAAACAATATTTTTTAAAGAAAAAAAAACAAAAGCATACACAGAAATTAACTTCAAACTACGAAAAGAATGAATGAAAGAATACAGAGATTAATATATAGTTAATGCAGTTTCCTTTATTTTAATCACAGTTTTTCTAGGGACGATATAAAATTGAGACAAAAAAATGTATCAAAACGTTGCAACGTTTTGATACATTTTTTTGTCTCAATAATTTGATATCCTTGGAAAAATGTGAATTTAGTAAACAATAAAAATAAATGGAAATTAACAAAAATAAGTAATTTAAAAATACAAAAAAGCGTAAAATAAACAAAAAGTATACCTTTTAGAAGACAATTACGACATTCATTAGCTTCAAAACTGAGTCCAGCGCTATTTTTGAAATTAAATTTATGACCACCTTTTGGCAATTTTATTTCAATGACACGCTGTGGCAGTTCAATTTTCGTGGGACACCAAAAATTTGGTATTTTAATACTTCCCATGGTGCCAATAATTAATGCCTCATTAGGTAGCATCACTTCGGAATTAGTTAAAATTGTTGCATTTCGATTGCCACTGTATTTGAGTGTTGCCGACATTGTAACATCAACACCATCATTGTTTAAATGACCGACTGCTTTAATAATTTCCGGCTTCTCACCATTAAATACAAAATTCACTAATTGCAGTGTATAAACGCCCAAATCAAGAATCGTACCGCCACCCATTGTTTTGGCGCTGAAAAAAGAAAGGCAAAAATTATTCTATTCACATTTTTTTCTCTTTGTAATTTTTTATATTTATAAACCCACATATTTCTTTAAATAAATAAATAAATATTAGTCGGAAAAGTTCTAAATGAAAATAGAATAGGCTTAAAAAAATTATTAATTAAATTATTATTTATTTTAAAAATTAAAATAGAATGCTTCTACAGAATAAATCTACAAAAATTCTAGTGAACATTCTTTAACATAATTATAATAATTATTAATAATTAATAATAATAATAATAAACTGGAATAATTCTATAACAAAAAGAATAAAAAATATTATTATATTATAATAATCGACATAATCTGTCCTCCACTGAAGTTAGTGTTGTTTTATTCTAATTTTTTGTTTTATAGTTCGAATTGTTATGTCAAAAGTTTGACAGTTAATTTGTAAATAATAAAATATAAGAGGAGTAAGAAAATATAACCCCAATTTCAAAAATTCAAGAAAGAGGTACAGTTGCAATTTTTTTAAATAATTAATTATTCTATGAATTAGGTATTTATTGTTGTATTTAAATAATTAGAAGTGTTAAAGTAGGATTCTTTAGAAATAATTAATTATCAAAAAGTTTTTAAATTTCAATCTTTGAAAAATAATTTCCCTTATGGTTCCTCATTGCGTTAAAATTTTAGAAAATAATTGAGTATATTTAAGAAATATAAGAATTACTTTTTATTAAAGGGTTAAAAATCATTTAATCTTGGACCAAAAATTGTGTTTTTATATATTCTATAAAATGGTTATAATAGTTTAATAATTATACATAAGTTAATAAACAAGAATGTTGAAGAAATGATATTTTCCAAAATTTCTAATTTTTCAAATACTAATAATTTGATAGTTTTTGACCGAATCAGATACAAAAATAGGTCAATCGAAGCGTTTTTTAGTTCTCTACAATTTGGTAATGATACTTTTAAAGTTACTTTTACATTTTTCAACAAAATTTTCAAAGAAGTATTATTTTCGAAAAATTTAGATTTTTAAAACTTTAATATATCTGGCTAATATGGACGAAAAATATTCAAAGGATGCGTCTGAAAAAGCTCTACAAAACTAAAGAAAAACATTTATAGGTGTCCTAACATTTTTTTTAAGTTATGGCCAAAAAACGTTTTTTTACAAAATGAAAAATGCAAAAAACATATAGTTAAACTTTATAAATCGGGCTGAAAATACTCTCATTTTATGTCCCCCGGGGAGACCTACAATTTAAAAAAAAATTGAAGCCTTTAGCTCTTTCTCGTTCTGAGATATTGAGACAAATGTGCCCATTCGCACATAAAGTACTAAAAGATTAGGTATAATGAAAATAAGTTTATAAATGTCGTGGCCACTTAGACGAATCCGACATTAAGCTAAGTGTTCAGACAGTTAGCTAACTGCTGACAGTTAGACGAATACACGTCGATATCGTCTAATTGTCTAAGCAGTAAGCTAAATGTCCGACACACTTAGCATACTGTCCACCGCCATTTGGACATTTAAAGTAAAATAGCTAAATGAATAAATTCATTTCATCTATACCGAAATAATTTATTTAATGCGGCCAATAAAAAAACAAATTTTACATTTATTATTAGTCAGCTTAATATCCACCGCCATTTTGTCATTTACAGTAAAATATTTCTCAATGAAAAAAAAAATTATTTATTGTGATAACAAAAAAAATTAACAAATTATTTATTTTTGCACGGATTGGCATGGTCAAATCAAACGATTGCTTACAATCACGTTTAACTTTTCGGCAATTAAAACTTATAATTAAATAATATTATAGAAGTATTACAAATTAATTTACATTAAATACACTGAAAAAAATTCTTAGTAGATTTGACTACTTTTTAACTACTTTCCTTAGTTCAATAAGTCCCCAAAGATAATTTTGAACTTACATTAATTATCAGATATGTAGTTGAATGAAGTGATAATACAGTTGCATTAACTACTTTTCTTAGTTAAATAGGAACCAATGACAGTTTTGCAGTAGAATCAACTGCTGATATGTAGTTAAAGTTACTAAGATATTTTTTTTACTGAAAATGGTAAAATAAAATTATTTATAATTTATTATAAATATTAACGAGTTGTATTTTTTTATATTTCCCCCTACCCACTTTTGTTTACCTATACCTTATTTATTTAATGTCTATATACCTAACGGAGAAAAATCTCTAAACGTCGGGAGTTGAACGCTCGACCCTAACATTCGTAAACCGATAACCTAACCACCTAACCACGCTCGCCCACTACGATGAGTTGCTTAATACTTAAAGGCATTCCTGACACAGTTTAACTGATATAATTTTACTACTTAAAGTAGTTGCATTTACAACTTTTCACAGTTGATAATCTTCTATAAAAATCTATAACATAAATTACATGGAAAATAATTCAACTCCTAGAAGAAGTAAAAACTACTACAAAATTAGTCTATCGAACTACTTTAAGTAGTAGAATCTACTACTTTCTGTAGTCATTTCTGTAACATACCTGCAGTTACAAAGTTAACTATAAAATTACATTAATTTAATTAATAATTTTTAACTACATAAAACAGTTAAAATAAGTATCAAAAGTAGCCAGACTAACTAAAAAAGTAGTTCGTTTTATTACTTTTCACTCTACTAAGGGGATGTAGTTGAAAATGTCTCATGTATTTTTTTCAGTGTAAAATTCTAAAAAAATAATTGAATTTTGAAAGAATTACAATTGCAATTTTTAGAAATAATTAAATTTCACGAGGTTTTTCATTAAAATTATTTGAAATTTTAATTCCTGTGGAAAAATAAATAAGAATAAGTTTTTAAATTTTTGTTTAACAAAAGGTAATGAAGTTTTGAATAATTTAATTCAGCAATTCCGAAAAATTGTTTCTTGACAAAATGTATTAAACATTTTTTAAAAATAATTGTATTTCCGAAAATAATTTTAAAAAATTGAAACAAATTGAAAATTTTGTCAAATTTCATTGAAATGAATTTTATATTGTAATGAATTTTATTTGTTTACTTTTAAGAAGTATTTTGAAATATAATCTTATTTTTGAAGAATTCTAATTTGAAATTTTGGAAAATAATTGAATTTGAAAAAAATTTAGAAGAAACTTAATACCGGGATAGTTCCAGTGTTACTCGAGTAGGTACCACTGGAAAGTTCAATTATTTAATCAAAAATATCTTACATTCAAGTTGCTGTTAAAAATATCTTGTCGATTTCTATACGAGTTGTTCAAATAATTAAATTTAAAGAAAAACTGTTAGAAAAATTATGTTTTTTAAAAAATGAAGAACTTTCATTAAATTTCAAGAAGCAAATTTTTTTAAGCAAACAATATAATCAGTTAATAAAAATATTAATAATATAGGTACAATTAATTAATAAAGAAAATAATAAATAAAATAATATAAAAAAATTTTTACATTTTTTTATTTTTATATTTATTAGAATACGTGTAAAAATTCTATTGAAATATTAAATCAAACACTTTATTCTATAGTAAAATTTTTTAGAATTTTTTCGACTGGGTTTGTATATATATATAAATTCAATTGATATTTAATTGAAATTCGATAATTACTTAAGCCTCTCTATATTGGTGAGAGGAAAACCGAATGAACAAATTACTTGTTTAACGTTTCCGATACAACCAGAATCCAATTCCTTCTTAACTTCGATGTAAGTTGGAAAACAACGACTCCAAACGGCTTCCATTAAGAAAAGTCCTTTACTTTTTGCGAGACTGATTAATTCTGACGTTTGCTTTAAATTTAGAGTTAAGGGCTTCTCGCACAAGACGTGCTTGCCTGCATTCAACATCATCTTTCCAATTTCCAGATGAGATGGATTTAATGTGCCAATGTAAACGATCTCTGCGACAAATTATTATTTCTTCTTTTTTTCTTCCTCTACTTCTTCTTCTTCTTTAGTAAGCGATTAATAGTTATTTATGTATAGAGATTGTAATTTTTTTCTTCGTTTTTAATTACGTTCAAGAAAGAAAAAACGAAAGAAAACAAACAATTTACTTTAATTCAGTGGCAGATCCAGGGGGGGCACGTGTGCTTGCCCCCCCCCCCCAAGAGTCAAATATTCCTATGAGATAGAAAGAGATAACATTATATTGATTTTTTTAATGGATGCCCCCCGCCTCCAAAAAAACCTTGTCTGGATCCGCCACTGCTTTAATTATTATTATTATTACTTTTACTATACTAATTCATTAAAGTAAAATTTACTAATAAATTAGTAGAAATTATTATATTTATTAGTAAAATTTAGAGAGCTATTTATAAAATTAATAACAATAATTATTATTGTTTAATTAATTTTTCAAATTAATTTAACAATTAAACACAACGGTTCTAAATTACAACAATAATAATTATTGATTAATATATTTAGCTAAAAATATTTTCTAACTAAAAGTATTTTAACTCAAAAATATTCTTAACTAAAAGTATTTTCACTAAAAATATTTTTAAGCAAAAGTATTTTTAACTAAAAATATTTTACGTTCTCTTTAAGGGGTTACGCCACCCTGAAATTTTCAAAAAAATTTATTTTTTTTTTTTTGCTTAATTTCAAAGTTTATATTCTAACGAATATTTTGAGATGTCGCCGAAGACAATGTCTCACTAATTACAAAAGTTATGGTCATTAGAAGTCAGCGCAGTGGGGACGCGCCGAGAGCTGCTGGAAGCAGCGACTTTCTATTTTCGAATGGTCTAGGGGGCCCTTTCATGATTTAGGAAGGGTCCTTTTCATTGTATCCCATCCACTCTTAAATAAAAAAAATTATGGCCCAGGAATTGCTGATTAAATAGTAAATTGAAAAATTTTCAAGTTATAATACACTAAAGTTCATTTTTTTCTTCTTTTGCGTTTTTCTCGAAACCACAATTTTCGAGACGGTGTACACGATAACTCAAAAACTATTCAATCGATTGACTTGAAAATTAATATACATCTTCCTAAATAGATTTTCCACAGAGTGACGTGGGATTTTTTTGATTGAATAATTTGAAAATTTTTTATCCAATTTTTTATACGGTAATTTTAGCCAAAAAAAAAATGTCAATTTTTGAAGTGCTTCCATTTGCGTAAAAAATTTTTTTTTTTTAAATGGCTTCGTCACTCTGTTCAAAATTTATCACTTTTTAAGAAAAATATTGTTTTACTTGTTTCTGACAAAAATTGAACTGCCAATCATGTACACCATCAAGGAGTGCTCCGGAAAAATTGATCCACGCCAATAGTTATATCTCCGCCATTTTTAATTAAAAACCATTTTTTTTTAATATTTAAAAAGCTCAATATATGTACTAAAGCATCAATAAATGTAAAGAAGTCCTACCTGAAACAGTTTTATCAAAAAAATTCCTAAAAAACCATCCGATTTTCATGCGTTCAGGGTGGCGTAACCCCTTAAATTTAAATTAGTAAAAATGTGTACCTACTAATTTGAATTTTAATTAAAATTAGAAAACATTTTTACTAATTTAAATTTAGGGAGAAAATAAAATATATTTTGTTTTAAATTTTATTTTATAAAATAATAATTAAAATAATAATTTTTATTTTTTTTTTTTGTAAATTAAAATTTAATCTCAGAAATCGAATAAGGAGAATTGAAAATTGAAATTTTTTTTGCATATATATACAATACCAATATTTTTGTCTTGTGACAATTCCAGATAACTTCCATAAGCTTTTTCTATTTTGTGAAGATCTGCAAATTTTTTTGCTCTTCCTAAATCTCGTGCAGCAACTCCAATAACACGATGTTCTGAGCTTGATAAAGTTCCCAAAGCAGTGGCAAAATCGTGAGAAATTAATCCAGCGCCAGCAATACCCCAACGAGTCGCCATTTCTTTTACATAGAAAGAAAATAAATAATAAATAAAAATTAATAATAATAAATTGCTAAATTAAATAAAAATAACGAAAAAAGCAAATAAAAAATAAAGATTACAATGATAATAATTATTAGGTATTATTATTATTATTATTATTATTATTATTATTATTATTATTATTAATAAAAAATAATTTTAAAAATTTTCTAGTTTTTTAACTTATTTTTTTAAATTTATAATATAAAAAAAATAAAATTAGCAATAAAGAAAATGTAAAATAATATTAATAACAATTAACAAAAAATTAATTAATAAATAAAAAAATAAATCTAATTATAGAATCGCCAAATATAATAATATTTGTCGATTCTATACTTAGATTTATTTTTTATTGCGTAATTAATTACATAAGTTCTACAATTTTTACAACATTATTGTTACAAAAGGATGTAAAAAATTAAATTTTACATAAGACCGAATTACTTAATATTCATACTGTAAATAATATAATAGTATTAAACAATAAAAAAAGTAATAATTATTACTATTACTTCCTGATAGAGGAAGTATTGTAATACCAAAATTTTTCGAGTTCGATTTTTTGACATATCTTTATGTTATTTGACCTCAGGAGTTCAAAAATGACATTTTTAAAAAATGTCATTCCGTATGTGTGTGTGTGTGTGTATCTAAACATCACATTTTCATAAATATCTCGAAATCATGAACAACTTTTGGGTTGAATTTTTTTTTAAATTGTAGATCTCACCTGCGGACATAAAGTGAGAGTACTTTCTGATATATTTATAAAGTTTAACTAAATTTTTTTTTTATTTTTAATTTTGCAAAAAAACGTTTTTTGGCCATAACTTTAAAAAAATGTTTTTACATAATTTTGTTTTCTTAGAAGCATCTTTTGAGCCCTAATTGAACATTTTTCGTCCATATTAACCGGAGTTATTAAACTTTTAAAAATCAAAAATTTTTGAAAATAAGACTTTTTTAAAAATTTTGTCAAAAAACGTAGAAGTAACTTTAAAATTATCGTTATCAACTTGTAGAGCATTAAAAAACGCTTCGATTGACCTATTTTTGAACCTAATTCGATAATAAATTTCGAAATTATTGGTATTTTAAAAACCAAAAATTGTGGAAAATGACATTTTCTCAACTTTTTTGTTTGAAAATTTTTGTTTAACTATTAAATTATTGTAACTATCTTGTAGGGTATTTAAAAATACAATGATTGACTCAAAATTCAATAACTTTTACCATATTTATAAAAAGTTATTCATAGATTTCTATTATTTTTATCTCCATGAGGAAGTAAAGTGTTCATGAAATGAGCACCAAAATTATTAAAAAAATATACAACTTGGCAGCGGTTTTTTTATTTTTATTTATCATATGGTTATAATGTAATTTATTGTTATTATAATATAAAAGCATTGTTATAATAATATTATTAAAAGTATAAAAATAAATAAAATATTCTATGAAAATGGAGCAATTTTAATTAATTATGTAAATTAAAAATATAAAAATTGTTTAATTTGAACTAAGTAAAAATTAATATTAAATTTTCAAATATTTCCTACATTTTAATTTGTAATTATACTAAAGGATAGGTATTTTAAATTATAAAATAATATCTATACTACTTTGATTTATTATCTAAATAAAAAATGCATAGTATATAATGTAAAAAAAAATTATTTTTAAAAAACTCAAAATCATTTTTAAATAAACTATTATCTTATCTAAATTTCACATTTTTTAAGTTCTTTATTTTTAACCTTCTATTATCTTTAATCGAACGATTAAAAATCCAACTTTTTTTAATTTAATAATATTTAATTAAAAAATATATTTAAAATTATTTATGAAAAGTATATAAAAAAACATGAAAATAAAAAATAATTTTTCAATATTATTGTTTGTCTTTTTTATTAATCAAATTCAGTAGATGCTTTTTATAATTAGTTTAATTTTAATTAAAATGAAAAATTGATTATTTGCTATTAAATTTTCTATTAGTAAATATTTTACATATTTACTATTCAATTTTCAAATTGTAAATATTTTACACTATAGTAATTTTTAATTGTAGTAAATATTTTTGAATATTTATTATTAAACTTTTTAATAGTAAATGTTGTAAAATATTTTTCAGTAAATTTCCTATTAAATGAATAAATTTTTTATTATTTAAAACTTATAAATTTACTTTTATTTAAAAAAAAAGATTAAATTTTTATTATTATTATTATTAATTTATTTAATTTTATAAATTTTTTTGAATATATATTAAATTATTAATTCCATTCATATTTCGTTAAAATAACTACTTCTTAAATAAATATATAATAATATATAATATATAATAATAATAATATAATAATATATAATATATAAATAATTACTTCTTTTAATATAATTTGTCGTTATGATTTTTAAAAGCAGCCACAACACTTGATTGCTCTTACAGCATCGAATATTGTTAACACTACTGACAAGCCTATCTAGTTAACATTCTTAAAGTCATTTTAATTGTCACTGACTTAAGTTACGTAAATAAAACTATATTGATATACAGGGCCGGAGAAATGAATATTTCTGACATTTTTATTCAAAAAAAATTATTTTCATCAAAATGAAAGCAACAAAAAGAAAATTAATATTTTTACTTTTTTATTCAGAAAACAAATTATTTTTCATAAAAAGAAAACAAAAATATGCAATTTACATATTTTTCTAATAATAATTTTATATATATATATATATATAGTTAGTAATTAAATATAGTAATTTAACTTAAATAATAAATAACTTAATTTAAATAGTACAGTAAAATTAATTGTAGAAAAATAATAAATAATTTAATTTAAATAGTACAGTAAAAATAATTCTAGAAAAATAACAGTAAAAAAACAACAATAATTAAAAAAACTAGAAAACAAATATAAAGTATAAGAAAATACTAATCACTGAATTATTAACCATTAATAAAAATCATTTTTCCCCATAAATCCATTTATAGAGTAAATAAATTACCAACTATAATTTTTATCCAAAAAAATAATGTTCAAAATCATTAAATATACAAAAAGAAAATTTAAATATTTATTTTTCCCGCCAAAGTGCCTGTTGATGATCTATTCGCCATACACGGAAGTAAATCAAAATGTCAACATTTTTTAGCGGGAACAACATTTTTGTACAATACACTAAATTGAGCATTATTTAAATATAAATGTAAGTGAAATAAATTAAAATAAATATTTTCCATTTTTATCGATATTAATAAAATTATAAAATTATCGTAATTATAAAAAATTTATGAAAATTCCCTATGAAAAATTGCCATTTCTCTGCCATCTATCGGTACATAACCTTAAATTACAATCGTTTCGCGCTAACCTTTTCTTTCCTTTCTCCCCGCGATATTTGCGCATTCAAAGTGCGCAGATTTTTCGAGAGGAAGAACGTATTCCGTCATCGTCACAGCGTTTATGGTCAAGTGGCAACTAATACCGCATTTTATAATCGATTTCCCCATTTTAATAATTCTTTTTTTCCCCTCTTTGGTACAAAGTATAAAATTTTTCTAATAACCATTTTAAAAAGAAGTTTTTTTGAAAAAAGTAAGTGTGAAATTTTACTGTGTTTTGTTTTTACTATATTTGAATTTAAAGAAGGAAAGATAGATAGAGAGAGAGAGGTTGGCTTTAGAAAAAGAATTTCTTCTATTTCAGAAGCCACGTGTTCGGTCGTTATCATTTTATAACATTTTTTACTGTTAGTGCATGAATTTTACAAAATGTAATAGAATAGAATTATTGTACATTTGTAATTTAATGGGATAGTTAATTTTTTATTTCGTTTTACATGATATTGTCAGTATTTATAGGCTAATTGTATATATGTAACGCAGTATGTCTTGTGACCATTAGGAAGGAATCCCGCGGAAAAAAGAAATGAGATTTCTTTGTGTCGGCAAAAGGAGATGCTGAGTGATGATGACGGAATTTGTCGACGGTTGGCTTCTTGGGCATACCCTGGGCGAAGGTGCCTATGGAGAGTGAGTATTTATATATTTTTTTAATTTATCGAATTATAGAAATTAATTTTCAGATTATTTTTTTTAATTTTTGTATATTTTCAAAAATTATTCTTCTGTTTAAAAAAACAATTTTTTGCTGTCTGGAATTTATAAAAAAAATTTTGAAATTATAAAGAGAGAGAATTTAAATAAATTCATAATTTTTGTATATTTGATTCGTATTCTCTATTTTCAAAATTCAAGGTCACCACTTGTAGATTCAAAGGTAAACAATGATTTGACTTTCTTTGTGTTCTTTTCGTGTATAGAGTTAAACTTGTAATAAATAAAGTAACCAGGGAAGCTGTTGCTATGAAAATGGTAGATTTATCAAAACATCCAGACGCACGACAAGCAGTCAAGAAGGAATCGACAATTCATAGAATGTTGTCAAATCCGAATATAATTCAATATTTCGGACAACGTAGCGAGAAAAATATGGAATACATATTTTTAGAATACGCATCAGGAGGGGAACTATTTGACAAAATAGGTAAGTCCACCAACGCTTTTTTTATAATTATAATCCGTTTTTTTTTTGTTAGAAAATACGAAACAATTTTTTCAGGCCTCGGATATTATGATTTTTTCGACTTTTTTCGACTATTTTCAAATAATGCGACTTTTATCGACTTATATTAAAAAATTGCGACTTTTTCGACTTTTCTTCCAAATTTTGCGACAAAATACCATATTTTTTAGTATAAAATTGTGCCAATATGTAGATAAATCTTTCAAAAATTATTTTTGAAAATTTTTTCTAATTAAATTTGTGAAATATACCTACAATTAAAAAGATTTTGAATAATTGAAATTTAGTAAAATTAATTGAAAATAAATCCTTTTTTTCAAGTATTTTATTATAATTTTTAAAAATTAACTATTACAGAATTTTTATTGAAAATTTTGGAAATAATTGAATTTTTTAAAATTTTAATGAATAATCTTCAAGTGTAAATTCGATAAAAAATGAAAATATTAGAATAGTTTTGAAAAAAGTAATTCTCTGACAAAGTAATTTCAAATTTTTTTAAATTTACTATTTTAGAATTTTTGAGAAATTATTTATAATTAAAATTCATCAAAAATTGATTATTTATTTAATATTTTTTAAAAACTCAATTATTTATTTGCTTAATAAATTTTTTTGCAAAATTTAATTATTTTAGAGCATTTTATTAAAATTTGTTGCAAAATTCAATTATTATCATGAATTTAAATAAAATTTATGTCTAAATTCCATTTTTTAGAAATTTTTAAAAAATTTATTGCAAAATTCAATTATTTTCAGGAATTTTAATAAAAATTTTTATTTAAATTCAATTTTCAGGATTTTTTTTAAAATTTATTGAAAAATTCAATTATTTTCATAAATTTTAATAAAACTCTTTGCAAAATGAAATTTTTTCTGGAGTTTTATTAAAATTCTAATTCATCTATAATACTATAATTTTAATAAAACTCTTTGCAAAATTCAATTATTTTCAGAAATTTAAATAAAATTTTTGTCCAAATTCAATTTTTAGGAATTTTAAAAAAATTTATTGAAAAATTCAATTATTTTCATGAATTTTAATAAAACTCTTTGCAAAATTTAATTATTTTCAGAAATTTTATTAAAACTTTTGCCAAATTTCATTATTTTAAAGAATTTAATTAAAATTCATTGCAAATTTTAATTATTTTTCAAAGATTTTACTAAATTTAAAGTATTTTTTAAAAAATTTTTTAATTGTTATGTAATTGTAAAACTATTGCGTCTTTTAAAAATTATTCAGAAATATTTTTAAAAAGTTAATTTTACGAATTTATTTATTAAAATTTTTTGAATATATTCTACCTTAATATCTTTAAAAAGAAAAATGAACGGTTTCAATTATTATAAAAATTGAATATTTGTATTTAAATAATTGAATTCTTGAAGATCTTTCGGAAAAATATTAAAAAGTAATATAGATAATTGATTTATAGATGAAGTTTAGTTAAAAATTGTAGAAAATAATTGAATTCTTGTAAGGGTTATAAGTTTTAATTTTTATAAATTATTAAATTTCAGAATTTGAAATTTTTTAAATTTTATTTCCTGGTAAAAAAAGAAATAAGAAGTATTTAAATATTTTATTTAGCAAAATTATACAAGTTTTGATTAATCGAATTTATAAATCAGTGAAGAATCAGGGAAATAGAAAATAAAATATTTGTGACAACACTAAATTAAATAATCGACTTTTTTTCTATTTCTAATCGACTAAAGCGACTTTTTTTGTTCGTTAAAGTCGATCCGAGGCCTGTTTTTTTACTACAGAAAAAAATATTTTTTTTCAGAACCTGACGTTGGTATGCCGATATGGGAGGCACAAAAATATTTTCAACATTTAATTTCCGCTGTTGAATATCTTCATAGTCGTGGTGTTGCCCATCGGGATTTGAAACCAGAAAATTTACTATTAGACGATAAGGATAATCTGAAAATTACCGATTTTGGATTGGCGACGATTTATCGTATGCATGGACGTGAAAGAAATTTAGATACAAGATGTGGAACACTGCCTTATGTAGCGCCAGAAGTATTGGAAAGACAGTACAGAGCAGAACCTGCCGATATTTGGTCCTGTGGAATTATTCTCGTTGCTCTGCTGGCCGGAGGTGATTTTCTTTACCTTTAACTTCTTAACATTTTTTCAATTTCTTTTATACGCGTATTCAACACTAGATTCAATGTTTTTTTTCATTTCAAAAATCCATTTGTTAAAATTAATTCCAAATTTCAAAAATTCATTTTTTAAATGAATTTTTGAAATTTGGAATTAATTTTAACGAATGCATTTTTTTTCAAATGAAAAAAAATTGCAATAATTGTAATTATAATTAGATGTTAATGAATTAATTAATTCTTCAGTATTTAACGAGTCCCTGTCTGAAATACAGAACTGCCTTGGGATCAGTCCTCGGCAGATTGTCCAGAATATGAAGCTTGGAAAAATGGGAAATATGTGTCGATGACACCGTGGAAAAAAATCGACACCTTGTCATTGTCGTTGATTCGAAAAATTCTCGTTCACGAACCAATGAAGAGAATTAAAATTAGTGAAATTAAAAAACATCATTGGTTCATCAACAAATTTAGTGAAGGTATTTTTCTATTTTTTTGTTATCACGTCTTAATGTGTTTACAAGTTTCAAAAATATTCTTTCTAAAACTGTATAATTTTGTATAAAAATTTTAATCATTTAGTCTCTACTTGGGGGCGAAAAATTTTTATTTGGAATTTGATGACTTCCTGGACAGGTACTGAGTGACTCTGAGTTTAAAAATAATTTCTCAAAGCGACTCAGTACCCAACTGGGCGCTCACTGACAACATCATTCAGATTCTAATCATAACACGATCAGTTGAAAATATTTTTTGTCTTTTTGCGGATTTTTAAGTTGTATTCATTTTTATATCTATTTATTTATTTATTTACTTATTTTTTCACGAATTTTTAAATTATTTATTAACTTTCTAAAGTTTTGAACGTTCGGATGAACAACAATATTTTTTTTTGTACTTTTAATTTTTATTCTACAAAAAAAAAATTGTTAAGAAAATTATGATAAAGTTAAACGTCCAATTTTTATTATTTACATATTTTAATATTTAGAAAAAAAAACTCGTTCATTTTAACGTTCAAAACTTGAAACTTTTATCTGTATCGACTTTATTTATTTAATTTTTGTTTCGTTTGTTTCGTTGGCACTTTTTGTCAAGTATTTGCAGGCTAACAGGAGAAAGAGAAAAACTCTGGCCTCTACTTTGGTAACACAGCTCTATGATTTTAATGAAAACGATTCATAAAGCTAGATTACCAAAGTACAGACTAGATGTTTGTGCATCTTGGAAAACATTTCTATCATCATCATCATCGTCAAAGTTATAATAAACTGTTGTCCTTTCTTTGGTTATTCAGCTGTATGATTGCTAAACTTTCATAAAGCTGAAACACCGAAGCCAGGAAGGCGGTTAATGCGACACAATTATAATTGCATACGTTGACTAATTATAAGCTGTTTCATTGTAATATGAGCTTTAACAGATAAGGCAAAATCTTTGAAATTATAAACAGTTGGAATTTCATTTGACGATATTGTTCATTGTCACAATCTTTTGTCGCCTTTTCTGTGTTTTGTAATTTTCAAAATTTTAATTTTTTGAAATTTCCACCAATTTTATTTATTTATTTACTTCATTAAAAAATTTTCATTTAAATTTGATTAATTTACATGATTAATTATTATTTTCCTTTGAATTTTTTAACCGAAATCTATGATTTTTAGACGGGAATCACGTGGATCGTGACGTCGTCGATGGATTCAGATCGAAACGGCTTCTCATTGAGGACGAGGATAGTTTGACGAAAATATGTTATTCACAACCAGAAATAATAGAGAATAATATAAATTCAAATACATTTACGTCGACGGAATATCCCAATTTCTCCTTCTCACAACCAGCTCATATGGAAGATCTTTTGCTTTCCACTCAATTGCCCAATACACAGCCTAACACTCAAACTAGTCAGGTAATTAACTATTGTTCAACTGTAAAAAACTGCCAACTATTTTTTTTAATTAGCTAATTTCAACCTTTTTCCTCCAATTCAAAATTTTCAATTTAAAACGAAACTTCAAAAGTTTTTTTTAAATACTTATCAATTTTCGACAAAATATTAATTGTCGGAAATATTACAGAAAAAAATGCCATAATAAAAAAAAAGAATTTTTAAATTTTCATTTTAAAACAAGACTTAAAACTTTTTCTTTGAACTTAATATTTTAATTTAAACTTAACGTTTAAATATCAATTTTCCAAAGACTAAAAATATTAATTGTTGGAATTATTTCGAAAGAAGAAAAATTATTATTAATATTAATTAAAGTGTTGTTAATATTAATATGATTATTATTAATACAAGCGTGATTATTAACATTAATTAACGAAATTCTTTTCCAGAATTCCTTCCAGAGACTTGTTCGTAGAATGACCAGATTCTTCGTTTCGACTGAATGTGATTCGACTGTACAAAAACTAATGAATAGCTTAATGAAGTATAATTATAATCATCGCATGAATGGTGGAATAGTGCGTATAATTTATTAACATTTTTTTAGAAATTTTATCCTTATTTTGGCATTACTAAACAATTTTAAAATTCGTGAATGGTAAAATTGTTTAGGTGCAATAACATTAAAAAACACTATTTTAAAAAAAATATAAAATAATATCTTATAAAATTATAAATTATTATTGATAGTTATTAATAACAATAATAGTAATCACAATTATTAATAATAATATAAATATTTATAGAATTATAATAGAAATAATATTATAATTAATAATTATTATAATTGATGGTAGTAATAATAGTAGTAGTAGTAATTATTATCATTTAATGATAACTACTATCATTAATTTAAAAAAAGGAATAAAAGTACATTTTCGCTAAAAGAGATTTTCTAGGAAATTTCTATAAAAAAAAGGAAGTGATTCTAAATACTCGTTTCTTTTCAGATCACCATTTCGACTGTTGATAGAAGAAAAATGCCTTTAGTATTCAAAGCGAGTATTCACGACATGGACGGAAGAATCTTGGTTGACTTCCGTTTATCAAAAGGCTGTGGTCTTGAATTTAAGAGAAGGTTCTTAAAAATCAAAGCTGACCTTAAAGATATTATTACGAGAGGGCCAGTTCCACTAACTGACATTGCTCTCAGCTCATAAAATGAATTTTTAATTGTATGTAAATTCTCAAACGTGTTTTCATGTCCAATCTTTTGATGTTGTATTTCGAAGTGAGATTTTTTTTGTTTTTTTTAAACATATATTTATTTTACCCAACACGTATAGAATATTGATTCATTTCATCGTAGATCAAATAAACAAGGTATTTTTTAAACATACAAGAATTTATTTTCATCTCATAGAAGCAACATTTTACAATTTTTTTTTTTATTTACATTAGATTTTAAAAAAATTTATTTGTGAAAATCGATTTTTTTTATTGAAAAAATTTGTTTTACATATAGAATTTGTTTTTAAAATCGGCAAATCGTAATATTAAATTTAATTTTATAAATAAAAAATTTGATTTTAAATACATAATTATTGAATTTAATTTTAAATAAAAAATTTGTTTTTAAATATACAAAATCTATACTAAAAATCAAAAAAGTATATTGCTTCTAAAAAGTATTCAATTTAACAAAAAAATTGAAAATTTCGACGATAGAAAAGAAACTCAAGTGAATTGATCACTTTTTTTATTTTAATATCTAATTTTCATTCAAAACGTTTTATTAATAAAATTGTAAATCGATTAAATCTAAAAAAAAAATCCTGGAGGAGTAAAATGCGAATTTTACAAAACCTTTGAATTTCGGAACTAAAAAAAAAGCGTAGGGGGTAGACACTTTCTTCACTTACCTTATATACAATTCGAGAATATTGAATTTTTAGAAGAAAAAAAATTTCCCTCTCAGTAGGAAATTTGCAAAATTCTCGTTTAAAAGTCTTGTGTACTGATAATAGTTTTTTGGAGATAAAAAGAGAGGAGAATTTTGGTTTTATACCAAGAGTGTTGGCAAAGGCTTTTTTCCAGGCCACGCTTCTTTTGCGTACTTCTTCTTTTTTGGTTCCATTGCATGGCCCTCGACTGATCCAGGCATTTCAGTTATGTTGGTTGTTTCTATTTGTATTTGATTCTGTGTCATCTCAACTTCAGGAGCAGGATTTGGAAGAGCAATCCCAAGACGAGATGTTAACGATGTTAATCCAACGGTGAATGGATTATTAGAAATACTAGAAGTATACTGCTCCGGAGGTAGATCATTATATAAATTTGGAGTCGTGGAAGTTGGCTGTAGATGCTTCATTATATTATGATTGTCTTCCGATAATGATATCAAACCCCCCTCCATTCGCATTCTCTGTTTTGGAGTAAAAAAAAAGAAAATTGTATTGAAATAATAAAACAAATAAACAAGTAAAATTTATATGATTTAAATTTTAATGAAAAAAATGAGGACTTACTTTGCTAGGCACAACAGTGGTTTGTATCAAATTACGAAATTTGCCAACAGACGGATCAACGTCTTCGGGATTAATGACTTCCTCGTCGTCATTAAATGAAATTCCCTTTTTCTTTCGTTTTCTCGTCGATTTATGAACCTCGTCATCGGTAATGCCCAACATTGAAATTCGTCGATTATGCGCAGTATTAAATTCCGTAAGATTCTAAAATAGAAAATAATGTTCTTTACTACGTAAATATATTTTTTAGATTAGAATTAAAAATAATTACGTCGAGTTCGGTTTCCGTTTCGGGTAAACCCAACAATCCTCCGGCTTCTGCATCCTCTGACGATTTTTCGAGTTCATCTATTATTGTCCGATTGCCCGTTTGCGGCCGTTCTCTTATTATATAGTAACGAGTGGAAGCTCCAAAATGAAATGTACTATCAATAGGTAATTGAGTTGGTTTATTACTTTCCAATCTCATATTCCCAATATAAGTTCCATGAGCTGAAAGTAATTATTTAAAAAAACATTTTCTTTTTCTTCACACTAAATGCAATTTTCAAAAAATAAAATTGTAAATTAAAACAAAACTGTAAATTAAATACTCACTACTTCCTAAATCAACTAGGAAAGCTCTATTTAAATGTTTATGATAAACAAGAGCCGAATGGACACGGGAACAAGAAGCATGATCTATGCAAAAATCATTCATTTGCTGATTGCGTCCAAACAAGTAACATTTCTTCTCATCCACCATTAATTTCTGCAAAAACGATTTATGTCAATAATTTTAATTCGAATTTAAAAAAATTTCAAACCTTTAACCATAAGTAAAAATAAACTTGATAAAAAATTATTTTAAACAAATTTCCGAATATGTTTTGACAGATTCGACACGACTTCGAAGTCAAAACAAATACAAATAAAAAATCTATTTATTCGAAACAATAAATTCGGTAAATGAACAAAAGTTAAAATATTAACGAAATATGAATAATTACCTGTATTAATTTATCTCCTTTTAATACATCTAAATGTAAACCAACTGGAGGTTTACCAGCCCTAAAATCATAACCTAGGTTACAGTAAACCAACTAATATTCACAATTCTATTTATTAACACCGAAAATTGTGAATAAACTTACCAATTGGGAACTTCGTAATGATTCGCCATATTTTACATCTGAGTTTAAATAAATATTCCTCTTTATTTGTTTTCCAATTGTATAAAAACAACAAAAGGACATTTATGAGTACAAGTGCAAGTGGTACAAGTTCACGTAAGCGGCCATTTTAAATTTCGCAAAGCGCATGCGCGCACAATTCGAAATGGCGCTTATTTCAAAATCAGTTTACAACACAATTTCTATTATCTTCTTTCCCTTCAAACACAATAATTTAAATTTACAAAGACAGTTTTTCTCAAATAATCCTCATAAAATATTTAATTACATTTTTACTACACTTTCAATTTTACTATATTTTCAGCATTACTATATTTTATGATTTCTATAATTTCTATTGAACAAGCAACAATAGAAACACCCCCATCAATTCAAGTGCGCAAAATCAAAACGCGTTTGACAGCGCATTCGGAATTCGACCAGTCGGCGAGTTAGTCATTGAAAAATGACAACGATGTTCAAAATTTCCGATAAATAATTAAGTTTCTAAACAATTGGTTTTTTTGGCAACCATTGTCACTTGTTTACGCAAGCATCAATGCGTTTTTGTGTCAAAAAAAGAAAAATGTGTAATTTTAAATAAAAAGTAAAAATAAAAAAAAAAGAAGCCACATCGTGATTCACAGGACGAATTCCCTCGTCAGCGTGTGTGAGAGAGGACAGTGGTGTAAAATGGCTGCGGGAAACGTCAATAGATTTTCCATTGATAAACGACACGCATTTTGTAAATAAGTCCCAACAAAATATTCAAACATATTTTGTAAATGAATCCAGTGACTTATTAAAAATCTCAATAAAAACATCGTTATTTTCAACTATTGTATGCAACGAGAATGGCAGAATTTGTACGAGGAGGACCCAGCGTATCAAACAGTGTTAAGGTATATATGTTTTATTTTTTTTTCTCCATTTAAAATAATCTCAAGTTTTTAACTTATCAAAGAGGGAAAAAAAACATTTCTCACCAAGATAAATGAAAAACAAAGAAAAGAGACAGATTCTTTAATTCTTTAGCATAACGCGACAAAAAAGAAGAAAAAAAAAACAATATGACGCTCTTCTTTTTCAATTAAAAATATTTATTAAATTCTAATTTTTGTTTGTAAATAAACATGAAAAATACTATCTTTCTTTTTATAAATATTTTTTATATACTATTTATGAATTTTAAAAAGAGAAAGCAGATAATTACAGAAAGAATGTGATTTTCTCATAGGCAAATCTCATAATTGTTTCTTTTATAATTATGGGAAGTAAAAAGAAAAAATGAACCGTAATTAACTATATCAAGAAATTGCTTTCAAAACGTTTAATAAAATGTAGGAATAGAGATAATTGTCATTCGTTTGGTAAACTAGTTAATTTTTAGTCAATAAATTTCTATTCCAAATTTTCAATTTAAAAATATCCAAACGCAAATATTGAGACAATTTTCGCCTAATGTGAAATTAATGTAAATAAATAAATGTAAATTATTTCTAATAGATAATTTTGTGTATTACATACAAATTTATCAATTACATTTCATTTAATTTTTTATTTTTTGAAATTAAAATAATATTAACAATATCAAATAATTTATATTTGTTAATAATCCATGGCAAGTTTAGTAAATAACAATAATAATGTCAATAATAAATAATAATAATAATAATAATAATAATAATAATAATAATGGAAGTAATAATAACAATAATAAAAAAATAATAATAATGGCAATAATAATAACAATAAAAAAATAATAATAATAGTTTAAAAAATGTATTTAAATTTATTTATTGATTTATTCCGATAAAATAAATAAATATTAAATAACATAAAAAGTAGTAGTATTTACTACACTATAAACTAGTTTTTAATTTTTTAAATAATTTTTCTGGTATCAGAATACTAAATAGCTTTGAAATATAAAACAGATTGATCATAACAGCAAGGGAGGATCTCCCAGTACCGGAAGTGAAGATGGAGGTCCTAATGAATCCCTAAATGCGGAAAATGAATTTGATCCATTCTTAGAAAATATACCAGACGATCCTCCGGATACAGAAGAGCCAGACAGTGGAAACAACACACTTTTAACAGCTCCACCAGAAAATCAGTGAGTTAAATTTTTACTTACTCAATAATTAATTAATTAATTAATTATTGAATAAATATTTTTGCAATAGTTTTTTCATATAATATTATATAATATTTACATTTGAATTTATCACTCGGTCGTCTTAGTTAAAATATGAAAATAATTATAATTAAATAAATAAAATAATAAAAATTAATTAACTAAATAATTATAATTACTATATAAATAATTTCGGAAATAAAAATTTTAGTTAAATTTCGACGAGTTGAAATTAATTTTCCTTAATTAGGGAAATTAGTTAATTTTCCTTTTTGGCTTTCTTTGTTTTCTTATATTGTATTTTTGTCTTTCATTATAAGTATTTTTGAAAAAAATCTAATGATTAATTTTTTATAAGAAAAAGAAATAATGTATAATTTTCTCACGCAGATGGTATCATGGACGATTGGATAGGTTCACTGCCGAGGAAAGATTATGGGATGCAAGTAAAATGGGAACATATTTAGTTCGTGAGAGCGATAGAAAGCCTGGCAGTTATGTTCTTTCATACTTGGGACGCACGGGAATTAATCATTTCCGAATTACAGCTGTTTGCGGTGATTATTACATCGGTAAGAAATTTTTTAGTTGAAAATTTTTCCATGAATAAATAAATAAATAACAAGAAATATATAATGAGAAATTGTCGAAAATAAAAACAAAAATAAGAAAGGAATTTTAAATTTGTTTTTTAATTTTCGTTATAAATTCTTTATAAAGAATTTTTTATTTATTAATAAAATAGAAATGTAGTTAATTTATTATTATTTACATTTTTATTAAAAATAAATGTTTCTTATTTTTGTTTGTTTATGTTTATTTGTATTTTTTATTTTCGTTTTGATAATTCTTCTTAACACTGTTTACAATTTATTGCAGGCGGTCGTCAATTTAATAGCCTTTCAGACCTTGTTGCCTATTATACCCATTGTTCGGATCTATTGAAAAGAGAACGCCTTATACATCCAACACCACCACCTGAGCCTGTCAATGATAAAAAACGAATTGTCGCAATATTGCCCTATACAAAAATGCCCGATACCGATGAACTTAGCTTTCAAAAGGGCGATATTTTCTTCGTTCACAACGATATGGGCGATGGATGGCTTTGGGTCACTGCCCACAGAACTGGCGAGCAGGGCCTAATTTTCCGTGAACTTGTCGAGGATCTTGATGATTCGATTGATCCAAATACTGTATTCTCATGGTTTCATCCGAATGTCACGAAAAGTGAGGCTGTCGATATGCTGGTGAAAGCGGGTCCCGGCAGTTTTCTAGTCAGTAATATTTTTCTTTTCACTTGCAGAATTTTCTATTTCTTTTCTTTCCTTCTTTCTTTCTTTCTATTTCTTTTCAGAAAAAATTTTGTGAATATTTTATTAATTCCTCTTTTTGTTAGTCAACTCAAGTATTTTTAACTAGTTTGTCCAAAAATTGGAGTAAGATTGTTTTCCTAAAGTTTCGAAAGTTCAAATAAACTAAATTTGTTTTTTGTTTGTAAATTACTATCTAAAGAAGGAAAATTATTAAAATTTATCGTTTACTCAGTTAGGAATTAACTTTTCTATTGTGAAAAATAACTTTTTCTGCAAAGAATACAAATTAAAAGAAATAAAAATATTGTCGTTCGAAATTTTGGTCTTGCAGTTCAACATTTGTTTATTTAATCGTTTTTTAATAGGTCAGACCTTCAGACAACAGTCCCGGCGATTATTCTCTTTTCTTCCATATCAATAATCAAATTCAAAGATTTAGAATTGAAAAGAAAGGTGTACGTTATTTGATGGGTGGTCGAACTTTCGAGTGTCTAGACGCTGTCATAAATAGGTGAGTAAATTTCCAAGTGTAAAATAATAAATATGTTTATTATTTTATAATAATTGAATAAAAAAATAAATTTAAAAAATAATTTTAGATATCGAAAGGAGCAGATAGTGGAAGGTCACACATTGGTTCAAGCAATGGTGACGGAGCCCGATGGCAGTGTTCGAGTTAATAGAGAAGTGCAACACGCCGAGAAAATATACGCAACTTTGCGAGAGTGTCGAGAGCAATCAGGAGCAAAGAAGAATAAGGGAATTAAAATGCAAGGCTATTTGGAGAAGAAATCGGAGAAGAATAAAAAATGGAAGGCATTGTATTTTGTACTTCTTGTCGATGCCACCGACACTCATTTATATTTGTACGATAATCCTAAACGAACCAAGCCAAAGGGCCTCATCGATTTAAGCTGCGCGTATTTATACCAGGCGAGTTAATACACTTTTTTTCAATTTAAAAAACAGTTCCATATTTTGATATTCAATTTTATTTATTCTAATCATTTAAATTTTAAAATCTCTTCTCTTTAATCATTAGTAGGAACAATTCGCGCGGCTGACTTCTCCCTCAATTTTTTAAATTAAATTATCAATTTTAAAAATAATAATAGAACGTAAAAATTTTTAATTCAAATTTTTTTTTATAAAAATAAAATATGAATTGGAATATATACTTTTATTATTATTATAATTATAATAATCATATATTCTGACATAGGGAATTCAGGGAAAAGTCAGGAATTATTATTAAAAGTACTGAAAAAAATTAAATTTTTAGAATTCATAAGAAAATTCTGAATTTTTTTGTTTGACTCACAAACTATAAAATTACCACAAATTTTATAAAATTTCATTGTTGAATGAATTTAATTAGAAATTTCAATGAACTTAAATTTTTGTTTTAATAATTCAAAATCTTCTAAAATTATTTAAATTTGTCAATATATATATTTATTTAATTATTAAAAATAATGGATTTATAGAAAAATTTTAGTTAAAAACATTTTAAAAAATTGAATTTTGAAGAAGTTACAAATTATTGCAAAAATTTAATTATTTTCAAAAGTAATAAAATTCTTATCACAAAATTCAATTATGATCAAAATTTACAAGAAAATATCGACAAAATTCCAATTATTATCTTTATAAATAAAATAATTCTTCTC